GGCATGAGGAATTACCCTTTCTCTCTTTGGTCTTGTCGAGTATGAGGACTAGCAAGAGCACGATCGAGTTCATCCTATATCTTTTAATAATCGAATTTAGGTCTCATTATCTCGGTCAAAGAAATATGTTAGAAACATAAAATGATTGTGATAAAAAACATAATCAAAATATAAATACCTCTGAACATAATCAGTTGATCTTCAGGCAGAGAAATATTAAAATAATTTATGAGACGAGGTAAGCGTCTTATTAATTCAATATCTTTGTTGTTGGGGGAAGACAACAAATGTTCAACTCGAGACCTAAACTTAAGGGCTACTCATTGCCAATAGAAGGGAAAGCAAAAAGTATTAATTGAGTAGTAAAGAAGACTATTAGAGGGGTCAGAAGGAGAACATCTCACTTGAAAAAAAATCGAACTTGAAATTCTAGAATCATTGGGTAAAGATAGTGAAAATTTCATCATATTGAGCACCATTCAAAGATATCCAATCGATCTCAACACCATATTTCAATTGTTAAAAGTACATAAAACTATTACTCTACTTGGGGTCACATGAGTTATAGGTATATGAGTTATAAAAACTTGCATCTACCTTATTCGGTGTCACACAAGTAATGCATACCTTACTCAGATGTATGAGTTATTAAAACCTACCTTACTCGGGATCACACGAGTTATATATCTCTTATTTGAGGTCACAAGAGTTATGCATACCTTACTTTAGTATACAAGTTATCAAAACCTGCATTTACCTTACTTGAGTTCACAAGAGTTATACATACCTTACTTAGGTATACGAGTTATCAAATATCTTTTGCATGACAAATAAATAAGCTTTACTAAGTAAAATCTCACTAATATATCTTTCTCTAATCGAATAATGATTAATAAAATAAACACGTTTAAACTAAATACTATTCAATGAAATGATTAACTCAACATTTAATCCATTTGACCTCTATTTTTAAAGGAATTCAACCTCTAAGCTTGGGGGTTTGTGTACCTACCCAACCCAAATTCCTTAAAATTACTTTATTTATCTTATTATATATTATTAATTATCTTTTAACTGTTATTTTTTATAATATTTTATATCAGTTATTATCTTTTTAGTTATTATGATCTTCTGAATCCTATGTAAGAAGACTCAGCAAGGGAGTAAATTTCACTTCATCACTCATTTTCAAATACATTACTCTCTTAAAAGTTGATTTGAACGTTAGAGTGTCTTTTACAGGTGAGCATCCACTCTTTCCAAAAGAATCTATTCTCAATCGTCTTAAAGTTATAATTCAAAATCTAATCTATACCTTCTTATTCGATAAAAACAAAAACTATTATTTACTTTACAAATATAAAATATAAATATCGATAATAATAAAAATGAAATAAAAATTTATTAAAATAATTATTATTTAATATTATAATTTTGTGAGATAAAAAAATAAAAAAATATTAATTTTTTAGTAAAAATAATTATCCTTAGTTAATAAAAATTTGATCTTTGTTTTTTATATAGAAATCAATGAAATTAAAAAATTCAATTGAATGTTTCAATTTTTTCAAATGATTCTAATTTAATTAAAATATTTTTTTAATAACGTATTTTCGATGATTTGGCCCGATGTTGAGAGGAGTGATTTGATTATTATCAATAGATATTCTACCTTATAAATTATTGTAAAATTAAGTTTAAATAATTCTAATTTAGATCCAATTAATTTTAAAAAATTAAACTAAAATAACAATTAAGGTCAGTTTTCTTTTTAAATAATTTAATATTTTTGTTGTAATTCAATTCAATAATAATTTGATTCGATCAAACACTTTAGCTGCAACGGCGGTGGGTGGCTTGGTGATGTGGGATATAAAAGATTAATTTCACACTTCTAAACGCTAGAGACTGCGCTTAATGGAAAGATGGGTGCTAATAATAATGTCAAAACTGATGGGCTGAACAGGTGGCCCAAAGTTATTATTCAAAAAATGTTATGGTACATAATTTTTTTATAAGCGTTTTTATATTTGGAAATAAAAATATTATCACTATACTTATAACATTTCTCTAACTACAGAAACTGAAAATTTAGTTAAAATTTGAAAAACAGTCAAACTAGCAAGTATTGAAAAACTAGTTAAAAAATATAGTTAAAAGTTAAGTTTGTCCATCAAATTATTACACTACAAAATATTCCTTAGCTAATTCTCAACTAATCTTTCACTAATAGGTTTTAGCGTGGATTAGTAAGAAATATATTTTTTACTAAATCTAGATAATTAATAGTGAAATATATATTTTGTAGTAAATTTTGCCTTGATTAAATTTTTTGGTTAATAGAAGCTACAAGTTTCATTTCTTTTTAACTAATTAGTTCCACAAATTTCTCACTACGTTTTCCTACTTCACATGTAATTAATTTCTTATAATTTTCTCTCACTAATCAATACCTAATATCTCATCCATGTGTTCTCACTAGTTCTTAATTAATCTTATGAATTTCTCTTTCACTAATCAATAGTTAATATCTCACTAATATTCTCTGGATAATCCTTATCTAATCCCTTAAAAATATTTTTCATTAATTATACTTTTTCTAATCTTTATCTAATCCCTTAGAATTATTTTTCATTAATAATAATTAATCTCTCGCACATGCTATTGTTAATCCATAACTAATCCCTTACAAATTTTGTCTTGTTAAAAAAGTAGTTAATCTCTCATCAATGTTTTATCATTAATATGTAGCTAACTGCTAACAATTTTTCTTTAACTAATCAATAACTAATTTCTTGTTAATGTTTTCCAATTAGTTGTAGTTAATTCCTTAGTAATTTGTCACTATTTCTACCAACATTTTAATATCAAATATATTTTATTAAAAACATGTAAACTACTTGCGTATCTTTATAAAAAATAAATATAGAACTTTAAATAAAAATATATAAAAAAATACTAAAATTAATCAACTTTCAATATCGAAAAATATTAATTCAACACAATAAAAATAATCTTTCCAATATATAAAAATAATTAAAATGTATTAACTTAAAAGTACTTTATCAACATAATTAACATAAAAACAAAAATCTTGAATCTTTGTGGCATATCTTCCTTTCTATTTCTTTAAAGCGTACAGTAACTTTTTCTTAAAAATCTGCATTTATTATTATATTTTTGTTGTTATGTACATGTTTGTGTTTCTATTTGGGCCTTCATTTGTACTCATGTTAATACTTGCATATCAATTTATGATTATGACTATGTTTTCAGTTACTCTTGCACATTAAATATTTGTATAGCCTATGACTTATTCTGTCAAAAGTGTAGAATTTAGATTTTGGGAGGAGGAAGTACGTGAAATAATGTGAAGATTCATACTATAACCAATGTCATAGATTCTATCTTCCCTATTTTTAGTGATAATTGTTTAATAAAATATTAAAGTTAATTATATGAAAGTTTAATATTAATAAAAATATATACGTATTCACAATGAAATCTTTTATTTTATTAGACACATATTCACTTTGTTTTTACGAACTTTGTTGTATAATTCATTATAAAAAAAAGAAATAAACAAAGTTTAATATTTGTAAAATTTATACACTTTTACCGTGAATTCTCTTATTTTGTTAAACATATATTCACATTTTTCCATGAACTTTGTTGCAAGAAATTAGACTTAGGTTCTTCTTCCTATCAAATAATATATAATTCAAGATTCACTTAATATACAAGTAAGAAATACAACCTAACTAAAATACGTTATATAATTGTTTAAATGTAAACATGACATATTGAGAAAACATAAAAATTATATTGTATTAACATTAAATCTAATATTAATCTTCAACTAATAATCAATATTAATTAACAATTATTTAACATAAATATTATTAGTTCAGAAACTCAAATAGTTCGAGTTTGATGGGTTGTCTTATCAGAAAAATACCGTATCAACTTCATCATGGTAAGAAAATACAATTAAGAAATGTGAAATTTAACAATTAAAATTAAAATAATTATTTTAACTAATTATTATTAATATATATATATATATTAATGTGATATTTTATATAAATTATAATTTTATTTTATGATAAAAATATATGTTGAGGTATTTATAATTTTTGTTTACTTATTTTTAAAATTTTGTAATTTTTTATTTATAGAAAAATTATGTACTTATTATATATATATATATATATATATTTTTTTTCTACTTCTCTACTAACTTATATTATTAATATATATATATATATATATATATATAATATGTAGAAAATACTAAAAACTTAGCATTAGAAAACATCACTTGTAATATATTTTTACTTTTCATATTTTTATTTTGAAGTAAAAAAAATCTGAATTTGTTTATAAATAAATATATAACTATTATTTTTTAATTATTAAATAAATTAGTAATAAATTTAACTTCAACAAATGTAATGAAAATGTCAAATTCAACTTCCATTTAGAGTTTTTTTAATGTTTGTTGCTTTTAATTTACATCTTATACTAAAGTATTGGTGCTTATGAACTTTTTGATAATTAATCGAGCTTAAATTAATTTCAGAAATAACATACCTTTTTATTTATCTTTATATTTGAGATCCATACAAAAATAATAATAAGGTTGGCTCCACAAGACAATATAATTTGTTCTCATTGAAATTTTGTTTTGAGCCCTTTAGCCATCATTCGTTTGTGGTTTAAAATGAATATTGGTGAGAGCAAGAAGTCAAGAATTGTATATTGAATGAATAGGATTCATTTCTTGGGAAATAAATTTACTTATTCTATCTCTCTAGTCCTAATTTATATATAAACAAGGTTTGCTTATAACCTAAGAGATGCAATGTTCCCTGCCTAACATGCAAGTTTTATTGCAATAAACGTCATGAAATGTTGTTTCTTTATATATACACATACCTCTGCCACACCTACCTCATTGTCACAGGTCACACCTCTTTACACCAAAACCAAAGAAAAAGATGGGGCTATCTCTGCAGAAACTTGCACCTGGTTCCACATCTAACTCTCTTATCGTCTTCTTTATTTATTGTTGCCAAAACATTGTCACTTGTCATATTTCTCTCATGCATGTAATTTTACTTCATAGCTCCTCATTTAGTTGGATTTTGGACGATGAAGTGAAACCAATCTTAATTATTGTATGGAGTAAACAACAATTACATTGCATCCACTATGATTATGTTCTTGCATCATTTATATATATTTTTTTTCTTAAAATTTGAGACAGGGGCTGATAACAAAAAACTGAAAGAACTTGACCCAATTATAGAGGAAGTGTATGAAAAATTAGTCGGAGACGAAGGGACCATCGAATTCCCAGTTTTCTACAGAGCAGTATGCGAGATTGTCGAGTACTTAACCATTTTCGTGTTAAAAGCTTGTCAAATTATTATTTTATTAGTTGTAAAATGATATGATTTCTTAACACTTTTCTCTGTCACAATTGTGTGTTTTGTTTTCTCAGGAAACTCAATGAAAATCTCGGAAATACCCAGATCAAACTCCCGGCAACCAAGGATCTGGAGAAAGAATTCGATGTACGTGCATGTTTCTATCTATGCATTATGCATAGTTGTTGATTTACCCAAATTCCTTGTACAAGAAAACACTATTTCAAAATTTTAAAATATTATTCTATTAAAAGTATTGTAATATTCAAATAAAAGTTGTAAATATTAAAAAAAATATTATAATATTCCATCAAGACTATTAGAATTTTTTTTATAAGGCAACAGGATACATGTGATATTCAATTGAGATTTTAAAAGATTAAAAAAAATAATCATTTGATATTCAAAATCGTATAAAATGTATATTGGGTGTGCTGAAATGTGGGTGTTGGGGAAGCTTTTCTATTGGACATTTGTGTTATAATACTTCAATTTTTTACCACAAAATCTATCAAATAAGTTTTATATTTTTACTTTTAATTTATGAAGTAAGGGTGGAGGAAATTGAGCATTGCAGCATATTAAAGTGTTAAGAAGTTCTTATCAGGTTTATATATATATATATATATATATATATATATATATATATATATATATATATATATATATATATATATATATATATATATATATATATATATATATATATATATATATATATATATGAGTTCGAAATGGGTATGTTAAAAGAGTAAATTGCAATTCCAAGAGTTTCTCTTTTTGATCATTCTAGCTAGCTTACAGTAGTACATTATAGCAGTTTAGGTTCTTAACAATTGACAGTTGATTGCTGTTTGTTTTTTAATGGGAAATGTAGAAGCGTGAAAAGAAGAAAGAAGGGAAAAACAATCCATTGACAAAAACAGAATTCCAGGAGATAATGAAAAATTTGGTGAAGACATCAGGATTCACTGGTATAGGGGCAAAGGAATCAATCTTGTGCATCTTTGGTGTTCCATTGGCTGCTCTGTTTGTAAAGCAGAAAGTGATGCCTGAGGCAATTCGCGATGAATTTTTCATTCCAGGAGTAACTTCTGCCACGGTTTTCACCCTTGCTGCTCTCAACAAGATTTGATATATATATGTTATGATATGACCAACCAATAATGTGTTATTGCATTACTCTGTACTTTTGCAAGTTCATAACTTCAATGGATATATGAACCAAAATCGATCGGTTCCATGAATTCCTACTCACCTCTCTGGGCATTTAGTCAGAGTTTCGTTCCAAATGCTGGAATTAATTAGTCCTAATTGTACTGTACAGGTCCCTTTATTACATAATAAATTAGTATAAAATATTAATGGAATTAACGGTTTAATAATTACTTTCATGTTGGAATGTTCATAGACTGAATTAATTTAACTTGACAGAAATAGGCTAAACTAAAAGTTTGAAAGAAAAAGGGAAACCGAAGTCAAAGAAGCTAAAAATAACATTGAAAGCCTCGTCAACAGTAGTTTTTAAATTTTCAAAAACTAAAACTACCTTTTAGTTTTTAGTTTGTAAATTTAGTTCTTCTTATTAATTTTAAAAACTTGTCGTCAATCTAATAATTTTTTTTTTCTGAAAATCTTGTTGGGAGTGAAAACATTGGTTAAAGAAGAAGAAGACAAATAAAAACTTCTGCACTATAATGGTTCTGAAAAATCAAAATATGTGAAGCTATGTACACTTGAAGTTGCAGCTTAATCAACTCGTCCATATTAATCAGAAAGCTCTGAAATTTTTTGGATACTTTCTATACTTTGTAATGAAAAGAAAAGAAAAGAAAAAAAAGAAAAAACAAGAAATGAACGCCAATCGTTATTCTTTAATCAAATCGAACATTAAATACCAACGGTTGGACAGTTATTGCGCACATTAAACAAACACAAATTGGAAAATTTGTTAAATGTAGGCCAAGAATAGAAAGCAAAAACACCTTGATTTTAGCACTAGTCTCCATTTGTGTCATGGCTCTTAGAGGTTGTAGGATATGTGACCCACAGGAGCATGAATTTGTGACATGAATCAATCACACGGCACGTGCACCAAATTAAGGACAGGTCCTCTAACTTACTTTGCAAGTGACAGCTGTCGGTAGTTTGACACAGTTTGAGGGGCATCGTGCATCTCCTGTAACATCAACATGTCCCCGAACTCTTTGGAAATTAACATGCCAAGAAACAAAAAAGCCCGCGACAACATCAGAGACGGTTTAGCTTCATCAGAAACAAAAAACATGAGAATGAACACACCATTGATCCCCCCCTTTTCTTGCCACACAAATTATTGCATGTTTTTCAAGGATGCATAAACAAAATCTTTCTTTGAATGCATTTGAATATGTGGGGTTTTGGTGATTATTATTCGTAAGTACCAAATGTCAGGATCAGGATATAAGGAAGAAAGGAGGATATAAGGAAGATAGGAGAGCAAAATGATTGGAAAAGATAGCGGAGTTATGAAGGCGTGGGAGGCAACGATGAGAAAGACACATGCAGTTGCTAAGAAGCGTGCAAACAGTATATTTGGGACGATATCTTTGGGACAGGCTGCGGAAGCAGAAGATATCCCGGATGATTATGATGACAAAGAAGATGAGAACGAGGTGTATGACGTATACCTTGAAGAGAAGGTTCTAGCTAATGGGGATTACTATACGGGGGAATGGGCAAATAACTACCCACATGGGCTAGGGAAATACTTGTGGACCGATGGGTGCATGTACGTTGGAGATTGGTTCAAGGGGAAAACTAAGGGAAAGGGTAGGTTCAGTTGGCCTTCAGGGGCCACATATGAAGGGGAGTTCAGGAGTGGTTACATGGATGGGACGGGGACTTACACGGGGTGTAATGGGGAGACTTATAAGGGGCAGTGGGTGCTGAACTTGAAACATGGTCATGGTTTTAAGAGTTATGCCAATGGGGATTGGTTTGATGGAGAGTGGAGGAGGGATTTGCAAGATGGGGAGGGGAGGTATGAGTGGAAGGATGACAGCCATTATGTGGGGGAATGGAGAAATGGGACTATTTCGGGTAAAGGGAAATTTGTTTGGGCTAATGGGAATGTGTTTGAAGGGTTTTGGGAAGATGATGTACCAAAGGGGAATGGGACTTTCAAGTGGCCAGATGGAAGTTATTATGAGGGAAATTTCTGCAAGGACAGTAAGGATCAGGATGGGACATACCATCCATGTGAGTCAGCAGATGGGGAAGGGCCCAGTGAGTGGGATCCTCAGGAGCTGTATAATGAGTTAAGTGCGTATGTGGTTTGCCCTGGAGAGAAGGTTCAGGTTATGCCATCACATAAGAGGCTTGCGGTTTGGAGGTCTACAAAGTCGGAAAGTGCTAAAAATAGGAGAATGTCAGTGGATGGAAGGGTGAGTCTTGGCTTGGATAGAGGTGATAGGTTGCAAATGTGGGATGCTGTGGATAGTGATGCTAGTAGTGTTAAAACTCCAACCATGGGGAGTGATCTCGAGGAAGATTTGACGGCTTTACGTGTGGAAGATGTTGCTGAAAATTTGGGTCAACTCCAACCTCTGAGAGCACCCAAGAAAGCAAAGAAGCAGGGAGAGATCATTTGCAAAGGACACAAAAATTATGAGCTCATGCTCAATTTGCAGCTCGGAATTAGGTGTGTGAGTGTGTCTTGATATCTTTCTCAAAATTTCCAACCATGTTAGAAATCTGGTTGTTTGTGCTTCTCTCTGTGTTATATGTGCTAATTAAGTGCTCTAGTTATGTTACAGTACAAAAAAACTCACAAAAGAGAGTTGAAATTGCCCATATGGAGAGCTAGAACTTGCTTTATTTTCTTGCTCTATGTTTACTTCCATCTTCTTGCGGACCCAAATTTCATTTCACTATCCCTTAATATTACGTCAATGAATGATATAACATCTCAAGTGTCAACCACCTCTCAACAGAAAGGAAAGATGAATCTATGGTTCATTCTATTTCCTTCATAGAGAATATTCATTTCTTCCTATTCATATAACTCCAAACAACTCTATTTTCTGCATATGTAATTTGACAGGTTATAAAGTTATTGTTCTTAAATTCTTCATAATTTCAGGGTCTCCTATTGCTTTCCTTTTACTCTTCTTGCCTATAACTTAACTTCATAATATTTCATATTTTATAATTTCTTGGACTTCCTAGGCATTCTGTAGCGAGGCCTCCCTCAGCATCTGATGTTAAGCCTGCAGCTTTTGATCCCAAGGAGAAAATATGGACAAGATTTCCACCCGAAGGATCCAAACATACTCCACCACATCCATCGTGTGACTTCAAGTGGAAGGACTATTGCCCGGTAGTTTTTAGGTCAGCCCTATATATTAATACTTAGTCTGTTCTTCCTGTTAGTTACTCTCTGCATATTATACAAGTCATTCAATGAACAGATTTATTATTTATGCATGAAATTTCCTTTTGTCATTACGCTAATATGTGGTTCCCTCCTGCCATAAACTATATTAATGCTGAGTTGAATTTTCATATATTATCAAAGATTTTTTGATTGTCAATCAATTGAAAAATACCTTCAATATGACTTTTCAAGTACAGTCAGTGGGAGCCGTGAACACTTACGGAAACCCATGATTGAATGACCATGTAAAAACCTGTGCATTATTAATGCATCTCGATTAAATTCAATGCTATTACGTAGTCAAAGTGAGTAAAAAAAATGGACAGAATTCAACTAAAACTAAGCTATATTCAAGGAGTTTGATGTAGTTATTGAATGAGATCACATTACACTCTGTCCTCAGAACTCTTAGGAACCTATTCATGGTGGATCCAGCTGATTACATGTTATCCATATGCGGAAGTGAAGCCCTTCGCGAGCTTTCCTCTCCTGGAAAAAGTGGCAGCTTCTTTTATTTGACCAGTGACGACCGTTACATGATTAAGACAATGAAGAAAGCTGAAGTGAAAGTGAGTTCCAGTCTTATCTTGCCATATTTGAAATTTTTTAGGAACCCATGACACATTTCTTAAAATTTGACGATGCTTGATTTGTGTGCAGGTTCTATTGAGACTGCTTCCATCCTATTATAATCACTTTCGAGACTACAAAAATACTCTTTTGACAAAATATTATGGCCTGCATTGTGTGAAGTTAAATGGAACTATTCAGAAGAAGGTACATTTCAACACGCGATGTCCCTTCTAACAGAAATTTGTATGAAATAGCGATGATTTATTTGTTTCCTTTCAACTTTAAACTTTTGATATGTTTTATGTTGTACAAAATTCAAATTTTGGCATTAAGTTAACCAGTGTTTTATTCTTATTGAAAATAGATATTTCTATGAAGTTTCTATAGTTTGAGTATAATAAGCTTCATAATATGTTTGGTTTCCAGGTTCGGTTTATCATAATGGGTAACCTCTTCCGTTCTGAGTTTATCACCCATAGACGCTATGATTTGAAGGGTTCTTCACTTGGACGCACCTCAGATAAGCCTGAGACAGAAATTAGTGAAACCACTATCCTTAAGGATCTGGATCTTAATTTCATATTTCAACTGGAGAAGTCCCAATTTGAAGAATTTTGCAGGTTATAAGGATTGTGATACCATAATTTGTAATTTTATATCTGAAAGCTAAATTAGTTTTGAAAATCATTTATTTAAATTGTGATCAAATACACGTCTATAAAGTGGCTTGATTTTCCAATCATTAGTTATAACTTTGTATAGAAGTTAACCAATTGTGAATCAAAATTAGTTTTGCAGTTTTAATTTGTTGTCTTATGTCAAATTATACTAAGCATGTCAAGAATATATTTTGTTTTCCAGACAAGTTGATAAGGACTGTGAGATTCTGGAACAAGAGGGAATTATGGACTATAGTCTTCTAGTGGGCATTTATTTCAAAGATATTTCGCCAGATGGGGAAATTATTCCGATCCAAGCTCGGACCCCTGTTGGTAATATTCTTACCCTATATGAAGTAGTTTATAACCTCAATGTGTAATAGTTGAATGTATGTGAGTGTCTGTTTCTGTGCTTTGATAACACAATAAGGACCCTCTTGCTTTCCAGCTTCTGGTGATTCAGAAAATGAAGGAACTCCCCCAACCTCAAGTGAAGACACAAATGAACCTCCTTCTGATTCTTCCAGGTGAATGTCTGTTTACAGTTGTTTCATCATACATAACTATACTATTGTATGTGCTTAGCTTTATACTGCCCAAATTTAAAACAAGAACAAAGACCATAGTCAAGTTGCTTGCAGCCATGCAGTGAACGAGACTTAGCCTTAATAAGAGCATTTGCAATTAAATTTGTTTACAGAGTTCTTAGACTTGAGAGCAATTTCACCTTTAGAGCAATTGATATGGTAGTTTTTTATATATACAAATGAGAATCGAGCTTATATAAACAACGATTTTTAATGGTTCTTAAGAATTGTAGAGACATACAGCACAAATTTGAAGATGTAAAGGATAGCACTACTGAAGAAAAAAGCTTGTCCAAGTTTTTAATTCTCATGTGGTATTATAGGACTCATTAAACTTGATTTAAGCAACTTTATTATGGTTGTATCTTTGAAGATGCTCTAACATGACTGCATACCGGATCATACAGTTAGCAATAAGCCATGTCATTAACAATGAGTGTGAGTGTTAGAGGAGAAGCCTCAAGTCCTATAAATGCATGTTCACCTAGTATCAATTCATCCAATAACAATGAACCTCCTTTTTACTATCTAATAGTTACCTTTTTTTTCTCTATTTTTCTCATTCCTTTTTCCCTTCTCTAATTCAATTCTGTTAGCGAAGCCCAATGGTAAGGTAGCTAAGAATTTTAACTAGACTGGTGGTTGTTGTGGTAGTTTGGAATTTTAACTTCTTGATTATTAGCATCTTTACTTAGCATTATCCTTTCAAATTAGACACATCCTCTCCCCTCCTCCCTCCAATATTTCTCTTGAACAAACTATTTATTTCATCCTAAGGTCATTTTTTATTGAATTAGCAGTTGATAAGAATGCGGAGTATAACATTTTCCAAATAATCTAGTCTGGTTTTAATATTGCTCTCCATGTCTACGTGACAATTATATCCAAGAATTTATCATTCCTGCATGATGAAAAGCTCAAAGCTTAATATGGTCTGTGTCTATCTGGGTATCTGCAGTGTCATATTGGGTGTGAATATGCCAGCAAGGGTTGAAAGGACGGTGAGAAGAAGTGGTTGCGAACTACAGCTTATAGGAGAACCAATTGGAGAATTCTATAATGTTGCGTTGACTTTTGGTATCATAGACATACTTCAAGACTATGACATTAGCAAGAAGCTTGAGCATGCTTACAAATCCATTCAATATGACCCGACTTCAATATCAGCCGTTGATCCTATACAATATTCAAGGCGTTTTCGTGATTTCATACTAAGAATATTCACTGAAAACTCATGAAAGGTATACATGGTTCTTCATTTTCTTATCTGGATACAGAATGATTACAAATATCCAATGCAAAAATAGCAGTGTTGGTGTGCTGCAAGTTTCGCCGTTGGGAAGGAAAACAGCAGTGATTACAACATGATTTTGGACACTAATTCAACCATATTCTTTATTGTATGTTCTTAATTTCTTACTTTTTTTGTATAGTGCAGACGTACAGTATAAATAGTATAAGTGAATACATAATGGAGAACGCTGAAGCAAAAGCGACTGTGTATGTGCATGTTGTAGCTAGAACTAGAATATATTACTGTATCCATTATTAGTAATTCTTTTCCAAGAGATAAAGAGGGGTCACAGGGAATTCCAACATTTTGTATCTGATTGGAATGTATATACTATACAGGTGAATGAAAGTGGATCAATGTATATGTATACAAGTTTTTTTTTCTCTACTTCTCTGCATGCCTTTTCATCAAATTTAGTCTGTCATCAAGTTCCAATTCTAAGAAACTTCTCAAGAATACACTTATGAGAAGGTAAAATGATATTTTTGTCATAAATTACAATCATTTATTTACCTCTGTTATGAAAAGGTTGAGAAATTTACTAGATGAAAGATTAAAAAAGATTTGAATGATTATATATATGTTTTTTGCTTCTAATACAAACTTCAATTACTACTTACAACAGAAATCTTATATACAGAGAAGAGTACAATCAGCGCATGATAAAAACTGTTAAAATTAATTACTATTTGCATATTTTAAAGATAAATTAAATTTTCACTCAACCTTGCAAAATATTCTATCATAGGCTTAGTAAGAAACCTTATTGCCACTAGATATCAAGTAAACATGATCAATCACATTGCCTTTTTTAAGACATGTATTGAAAGTAGAGATCAAATAATTAATAAGGGAGGGACATCAAAGAAAAAACATACAAAGAGCTTTAATAACACGAATAATTTATCCGATTTCAATAAAGTCCCACAAGAGTTTTTCTTCATACTTTTTGAATAACCTTCTCGATTTTGAATTTGTTAACCTTTATCATGAACAAATCTTGGATAATGATTAATCTTGAAAACTCAAAGACTCACTCTTGAAAAAAACGAATAGAGAACTCGATTGATTGAAGCAAGTTATGATATCAATTTGTAACAGAAAATTTGAGAAATTTATTATATATTATACGAAGAAAGCTTACATTATTAAGCGACGTTGATATTGATATAGGATTAAACTAGGATTAGATCGAATCATACAACCTCAATTAAAAAAATGAAAAATAAAAAAAATAGTGAAAACATAATTAATTCTTTTTATTTTCTATAATTATTGTATGGAAGTATTTTTCTATAAATTTATTCAAATTAATCATACTTCTCTTATAATACAATCATATTTAGTTTATATATTATCCCACCTAAAGTCTCACAATGTTATGCTATTGGGCCGTGTGCCAATGTCATACTAGAATGTGAGTATTGTGTAATTTAAAGAATTATAAATGATTAACTGGTCTTAGACGAAATGGTCTCATGTGATATTTATTTGAGTTAAATATTGGTAAAATAATAAATGGTTAAATCAATGTTATTTGAGTTAGAAATAATTAAGTGGTCTTAGAGTAAAATAGTCTCAATGTGATATTTATCTAAGTTAAATATTGATTTGGATGATTAAATTTATCCTTATTAATTGTTATTGTCTTAATGATGTTGATTCTCATATTATATTGGAAATAAGAAAATATTTAATTTAATTCTACAAAATTGATTTAATGATACAAATTTATGTACTAATATGTTACTATATCTCTAATCCACGTTAAATTTATCCAACGACAAATCGCTTGGCTTTAGGATGCTGTAAAAGCCACTCTTTACAAATAATTTTGTGTTATCAATTCAGAAGGGAAGCCATGTCCACTCATCACGTAAATTGCCAAAAGCGTATAATATAGTATTAGTTATTTTGTAGTGTTAATTAAGTGTATTTTTATCGTAGACTCCAATACCGTGCACATGTCATGATGTAATCTTGATTTAAATTACTATGATAAATTGTATTTAAGAAAAGAACAAATTGTAGCCATATGAATTATGAAGTGTTTTCTTGTGGTGCTGTTTGTGTAAAACCGTACCTGTCTTGATCTTATATGGGCAGACATAGATATGGATCAAGTATAACCGAATGAAAAGCCAAAATAAGAATCTTGATTTTCAATTTAATTTTACATTTTTATCGTGTAGTATAAACACATGCTACAGATAAAAAATACACAATATGCAGCATAAGCATTTGATTTTAAATATGTGCAGGCTAAATTAAAAATTCACAATATGTTTAGTGACTAAATTATGTCTTTAACCAATCAAAATATGATTCCTGCCTGAGGAGTAAAAAAGACTTTGGCGTTCAACTTTGCAAGTTCTTATTAAGTAATTTGTATTTTTATATTTTTTATGAAACAAGGAAATATGTGGGATAATAAAATTAATATACTCAATTTCTATTTAAAAATTATTAATAATAATATTATTATATAATTAGATGAATTCTTATATTTTACTTTTTTTTAGTAGTATTTAAGCTTTCTTATTCAGATTTTACTATATATATATATATATATATATATATATATATATATATATATATATATATATATATCATTATGTTTAGACATCTACTAATGAGCTGAATATATTAGTTAATGTACTATCATGTGATAGTGATATATATTTATTAATCATCCATTGTATGTGATTTTGACTAATCTCTCATAATATATAATCTTCGTCGATTCCCCATTACATATGATCAATCCCCCATTATATGTGATCTTGACTCATTCTTAATGATACATGATTTTAACTTACCCCGCGAATGATCTTAACTTATCTCCATGTGTGACATCAACATGTCATATTTTAGTTATTACCTAATATTTATTCTACAACGAGGAGTTACAAATAATACGAAGAAACTTGAGATTCAAGGGACATAAAGACCATTATGATATGAGATATAATGTAAAGATGTTGTTGATCAATATGTAATAAACCATGTGTTTAAGATTTATGAAGTCTCATCAACTTCGACAGGATAATGAAGGACTATGAAATATTATATTATATATAATTTTTCAACTAATCTAGAATCTGACTCAAAATGACTCATGACTCATTTACGACATAAAAGTCTTATCAATCACGTATTTAACAAAAAAAAAACATGTGTCATATAAACAAAATATGTTAATTTTCTCCCTGACGCTAAACTTATTTAGTTATAGATTATCTTATGGTCTATTATCTCAAAATACTATAGATTGAGATATTATATATTATTATATGCTACGTTATGATTTATGATCAACCTAGACCAATTATAATAGACAAATTATAGTAAATTTTTAAAAGAATTAAGATCAGATTCTATAAAAACCAAATACACAAATTCATATTTCTAATTTATTTTAACTACTTTACTTATCTTTTAATATCATGCTAATAACTATTACTAACTTAAAACTTAAAAAACATAATATATATATATATATATATATATATATATATAAAAAGTTACTAACAAAAATGAAAATAAACTATCTATTATATTTTTTAATTTAAACATTAGTCAAAAGAGAAATATTATTAATAAGAATTCATTTTTTTATTAGAATAATTAATATTTATAATTTAAATTGTAATATTATAATATATTTATATATTTTAATAATATAATATAAAAATAATATTTTTAATAATAATTATTTAAATTTTAATTTTAACATATAAATATTTTTTAAAAATAATCATTAAATTAGTATATTATATAAAATAAATTAAAATAAACTAATACTAAAGAGCATCAGCATAAATTTGTGTGTTGGCAAAAAATGTGGACGCTTTCCATGTGTCTAGAATCTCTTGCCTAAAAGAAATATTACTTTTCTGAAAACATAAAAGAGACTTGCATTGTTTCCCTTTGCATCTGATTCTGGTCAAAAGTGTTTTCAAAAGAAGAGTCACAATGCCACTTATAAATGAACACTAACACTGTCATTTTTCCTCAAATTTATTTACATCTTTTATATCTCACTTTTGTCAATAATTTAGGCTACCAAATAATATTTTTCAATAAAAAAAACGTAAAAGGTGATAAATTTAAGTACAAAACATTGCAAATAAATTTAAAAACATATAAATATCAATGTTATTCAAATAGACAATTATATCTAATTAAAAGAAATGTTGTTCAATAATAATGAATAAGTAAATTATATTTATTAACTTAAAAATGAAAAGTTCTTTTTTTTTTTTTATTAAAAAACTTGAGAACACGAGAATAGACAAAAGTAAAATTTAAAAGTAAACAATATAAAATGAAAGGTTATGGGAACTTAAAAGATATTCAAATACATAAAAAGAAACTAGAGAAAGATAAAATAAGAATGAAATGACTATATGAAACTCTGATTGAATTAACTTTAAATTGCATAAGAATAAATTATCAAGAAAATATAAAAAGCGGTAAAAAAGATCAATGAAAGCGGAAACTCAGATTGTTAGAAATTTCATGATGGTTGTCGTTGTCCTATAGACTCGTATCAGAAATTTCTCAAGTCAAAATGATCTCCCTCAACCTCTCACGCTTAGTTCTATTTATAACTTGCTTAATATAACCACCTAAAACGGTTAAAAACTGCTACCGCATGTTCCTATGTACAGAGATAACTGTTTTCTTCAATTTTGATTGCAGAAATCGAATTCTTGAACTTTATGATGTTTCTCATCTCCCTTAATCTTAACTTGAGACTCGATACTTCACTGTTATCGATTTTTTACTCCCAACATTGTCATCGAATTTCTTCTATCAACTTTTCGATTCATATATCAATTTTTTCTAACTTTATCTCTTAATGCAAAATAGCAACAGTAGAAAATAATAAAAATGAACGTATTTTACATAAAACTTGAATTAAAATGATCAATGCTAAAAGGTTTGGTAAAAGATAAAATAAAACGTTTATTAATGACTTGCTATTACCTTGAAAACATTTTATTCGTAATCAAAATTTTCATTCTAGTTTTTCCGTTAGCATAATATTAATCATTAACAAATAGATTAAAAGTACAAATTAACCAGTGATGTTCTATATTCTATGCACTAACCTTTTGGCGCACAAAAATCACTTTTGGAATTTAGCCATGATTGTCCATTTATTCGTATTTTATAAGTTCTTCAACAACCACTTCCATTTCTTTTATTGGGTTGGAGACTGCATAATCCTACGTAACTTGTAGAAAGAAACAAAAATTCCTGATTCCATGCTAATACCAAATTAACGAAATTTTAATTATAAACTTTGGTTGCATAATTACTATTTGGCTTATATAATTGGGTTCACGTGAATACACGAATATTTCCTATTCTATTACCATTAATCCCCTCCAGCACGTCAATAAACAAAACGTGATGTAACGGCAACCGGGAAATACCGGTCATTCCGCCGTTGTTACCTTCGTCAACGGAACTGGAAGTTGCCAGTTAACGTTCAATACGCATCTTGTGACGTCATCGTATTTGTTTTTGAAAAAAGAAAATAAACGAAAAAAATATTCCAATGTTTGAAATTTGAGAATAAAAAATGTGTGATCGACAGAGATTCTCCGATCCGGGGGTCCTCGCTTAAGGAAATAATCTGGTGCATCCGATATCATATTGTGTCCATAATTCTTATGATATGAATTATGCTGTCATATTAATCAAAACTATCAGAATACATCTTAATGGAATGAGTTCATTAATGAAACAATAATTTTTTTTATCAACTTAATTAAGGTTGATTTTTTTTTTAATTTCTCTCTTCCTTTGTCATTTTAAAAAAAATATATCTCTTGACTTTCTTCACAATTCGTAATCCTAAACCCCACTAGGAATGTTTTCTTTAGTAATGAAGAGAAAAATACGTGATAGAAAAAAAATAGTGAAAAAGTGTAGGTATTTAATTGAAGTTAAATACAAAAGAAATAGAAAGAAAGATGTAATGATAAATATATTAAGTGATAAACGAAAAACTATGTTTCACCATCTTATAAAATTATTATTATTATTATTATTATTATTATTATTATTATTATTATTATTATTATTATTATTATTATTTTTCACTTCCACCAAACATATTTCATCGTGTTATTACTCCCAAACAAAACAATCCAAACCAAACCAAGTGGAAGTTGTTCATGTCTAAAACATATATTAAAAAAAAAAAAACAGAATGGTAACAAACTGAAAATGTATATAATGCCAAATTATACTGTTTCAGAGCTACTATGATTACATTCCTTTAAATTACCGTTATGACTATCCCGCTGATTCAATGAAGATGCCTAAAAACCCTTAACTATATGAGGCATGATTGGAGTTTTCTTCTGTAGAAAGCAGGGAATAAAAATAAAACTCCTCGTTAGGAATTTGAATTGAATTTGTTGGGAGAAAAAGCAAAGTGGGAGCGAGAATCACGTTCCTCCAATAGGACGGGAATCTAGGAAGAAGGGTGTCCCACGCGCGCGCACCGAACGCGACGCAGGAGGTAACGGTGGACTGCAGCACAGAGTGAAGAAACCCAGGGAGAGTGGCGCGGAGAGAGTGCGCACGCATTTCAGATCAGGTCCACAGACGAAGAGGAGAGTAAGGTTTGGAGTTGGTGGCGTGTGTGTGACTCAGACATTTCCCCTGTGACTCAGGCTCTTCCTGACCTCTCCCTCTTCTCCCTTTTATCTTAATTCTCACTCACCCACTCCATTCTATTTCTATTCTCCACACACTCACTCTCACACTCTCATCACTTTCTCACCATGGCGCTGCACTCCGTCTCTTCCGTTCCCCACGTGCTGCGCCTCTCCGAGCCATTCCCTTCCCTCCATAACGCTCACCTCCTCCTCGACCTCGCCCCTCTCCGCCGCAGACCCAAGCGTCGTAATCGCAAACTCACGGCCTTTCCCTCGCCATCCTCGCTCCCTCATTCCGCCGTCCAAGCCGTTCTCCACCTTGACCGCTTTGCCGACAACCGCCTCCATGCTTCGCCTGCTTCCTCTTCTTCCGATTCCAAACCGCAGGTCTGGTTTTGGCTTCCTCGTAACAATTTTTTAGTTGCTTTTCTGTTTCGTAATGTTTCGTGAGATCAGACGTTGTGGATCGGAAGATAGAACGGTGGAAGAAAACACTATCGGATCTGTTCTACAGTCAACCGCGTCAACGCAACACTGTAGAAAATCTCGCGAGAGGATGAATCTGCTAGAATGAAAATCAGAAGTTGAACGGACATGAATAGTTGCGAAGGAGAACTTTACGTAACTTTATGCCAGCTCATTTCGCTGACATGATTATTCGCGATCATTCTGATATAATCGTTACTCAGTACTTTACTGTATAAGAAAGGAAGTTTGTAGAGGAAAATGCCATGGCTATTTAGTTGGCAGGGTAAATTTTTTTTTGTAGCGAATTTCCCAGACCTAATCGCTGTGTATTTAGACGAGGAAGAGTGTTTTGTGGGAACATAGGTTTTCTTTTTACCTAGAGATAGCTTCAGAGAACTTGGGATTAAAAACACATTCCAAAAATGATTCTGTCTTCATCTGGAAAGAGAATTTGTATAACCTAGAAGCTGGAGGCAAGAGACCAAGTCCTCGATTGAAGGTCCTTAATAGAATCCCTGTAAAAAACTCCTTTAAAGCAAATAAACAAACGAACATCAATCACGAAGGCAAAGCAAGGAATAGAGGCTTCCCGTACCCAATTAGCCACTGTCCTTGAAATTAAGACTTGGAGACTTTTTTACTATTATGAAAAATCTAGCCCGTAGTTCAGAGGAATAGAAAATTAATGGCTTATGTAATGCCAAAGTAATTTTTCAATCCATAACCTTGCATAAGAAGATTCCCCGACTTACTCCGTCATAAGCTTTCTCCAATCTAAACCACACTTCATTGTCCTTTTTATATCTTCCGCCAGTTTGTTACTAAGCAAAACTGTATCTGAATTCTAAAATTTGTCTAGCTGTTCTGAAGACACTTCGACTGTCAAAATTTGTATCAGGAAAAACATAGAGAGGACCTTGGTAATCAGTTTGTATAAGCTAGTTACATGACTAATTGGCTAATTATGTTCATCCTTAACTTTCTAGATTATGTCCTTCAATGGCACTGGACTCATGCATGGAGAGTAGAATATCTTGCCATTGGATTTAAGCTATCCAACTCCCTATGAAGTTGCTCTTTTAATAAATTCCAGTAATGTGGGAAGAATGTAACAGTGCAGCTTCCAGGTCTTAAGAGCTTACCAATGATGATTTTTTTTTAATTAATTTATTTATTTTATATATATTATTAAGGAATTTATTCTACAGTATCAGGTTACCCCCGAAATCATTTTTTTGGAAATGTGTTTAAGATGTTAATCATATCATATAATAAAATGATATCAAGCTACCGACTGAGTGTGCTTTTTAAAACAAACACAAGCTTGTTTGTTCTTTCAATTTTGTTTAAATGATGCTTTAGCAAATGTACAGCAGAACAAGTGTCATAGCGTGAGTGTCATTTAATTACTTTATGAATGTCTACAATTCCTTAATGACTTTGGAGGTCATAATCCAATCCATCTGTAGAATGGTAGCAATTGATTATACTCTTGAATCTACCATTGTTTGTTTTGTTTTTTCAATGTGTTTTGCGGTATTTGACCCTTGGTTGGAAGCGAGATTGGACCACAGGTTTACAAGTAATCTGAGTCAAGTTGGCTTGATACATTAAGAGAATAAAGCTCTCCCAATACATATTTTGTGCATTCACGAGATACAACCAAGATCCTTACCACTTGAACCCACAGATGTTGTCCACTTTTATTTTTGTTTAAATGCTGCTTTAACAAGGACAGCTAACAAGTATCATGTGGTTTAAGTATAAATTTGGTTTAACTATTCTATGAAACTTCATAAATTCTAAATAAACTTGAATAGAAAACGAGTTTTACATATTTTTCTTGTTTTTTGTTGTTATTTTTTTTTTTTCAGTTTGTCATTTGCAGTTTAATTTGCAATTAATTTAAAGGGTGACCTTGTCCTGATGCACAAAAGTTCCACCATTGTGGGGTCTGAGTTATTTTAGAACATAATTTCTCAAATGCTTTGCTAACCAACTATTCAATATTGTGTAATGATCTACATGATAACAAGTTGAATGATCACAGTCACTTGTTGGCCAGGTTGCAAACTTGGAGGACATTATATCTGAGAGAGGAGCCTGTGGGGTTGGATTCATTGCCAATTTGGAGAATAAGGGATCACATGAGATTGTCAAGGATGCTTTAAATGCTTTAAGTTGTATGGAACATCGTGGTGGTTGTGGAGCTGATAATGACTCTGGTGATGGCTCAGGGCTGATGACTGCAATTCCATGGGATCTATTTGACAATTGGGCCAACAAGCAAGGGATTGCTTCCTTTGATAAGTTGCACACTGGTGTTGGAATGGTTTTTTTGCCCAAAGATGTGCAACTCCTCAATGAGGCAAAGAGAGGTAATAATAGTCTTATTTAAAATCATGATGATTAAATGAGCTCCAATAATGTCATTCTTTCAAGGTTTCTCTGACATAAGCATGATTAATTGTTTGTAACTTTTGCTGACTGCTGTTGCATATTAAATGCTGCATGAGGCTCTCCCCCTTTTTGTAACAGATTTTCTTATTACTTATTGAAAAAGTCTTAGTTTCACATTGATTAGAGATCCAATCTGTAAAGAGTATATATAAGTGACAAACAATTCTAATTTTATAAGCCGATTTTGTAGGGTTAGATTAGGATTAAACTCATATGAGATGGTATCTAAGTCTGTCTCATATTCTTTACAAAATGGATGGCCTACCATATTATCGACACACCTAGCTGTTCGTGCTGGATTGTGAGAAAATGTATGGGGAAGAACTCATTGACTACAGATAGAGCTTGAAAAGAGTATATAAGTAGGGGATCACCCTTATGTTATAAGTTGGTTTTGTGGGATTGATTTAGATTCAAACTCATTATAAGATTTCTCATTGATCCAGTATGCTATTCTCAAATTTTCTTAGTTATTTATGACATCTAATTTAAGCCTATGAACCACAAGCTTTGTAGAATGTAGATGAAGCATGTATCAATTAAGACATTGAATTAAACAAATGATAAGAGTATATACATTATACAATGTTTGTTGTTGCATTATAGTTTGTGTAGCACAGCATATGCTATTTTATATCACTATACTTTGTGTATCTTTGCTTTTCAGATCATTACTATATTGAAGAGGAACTGAATTAATATTGGAGCTTTATTTCCATTGTTAAACGTGTAGTTGTCTAAAACCTTGTGTTTATTGCATGCTATGCAGTGTAGTACTCTTTGGCATTGGCATTTTAACATGGATTCCCAAAAAATATAAATCATAGAATCAATTATAACCATAATTTAATCAAAACCATTTCACACGACGAAACTCTCAACGTCATAATTATCAAATTAAGCCTTTCATAAAAAAAAAGAAAAAAATTCTATTTCAACCATATACACAAAAAACTGCAAGCTGAGAACCCACCTTTTGTCATCAGTGGCAGTACTAAATCATTTGAAATTAATGTACAAGAGCATCTGAATATCCTTGAGACAAAATTGAAATGACAAAGATTTTCCAAAGAATGGAAACTTCTTAACAGTGGAAGGACTCTGAGGTTAACAATAATTGCACCTACCCTGCTTATTTTAGAACTAACACCCATCTGCCTTGCACATTACCTTTTTACTTTTAAAAATAAGGGAGGTATATCTATTTTTAAAAAGTAATGGGTTTTACTGAAAAGAAGAAAAGAATAATATATAAAATATAAGGGGTGTAAATAGTTTCTGAATTAAGTAGGATCTAAATGTAATTATTGCTAATTACAAGAGAGGTTAGTGTAATCATTCCCTGGTATTAAGGCTATCAAGAACAGTGGTTTAAACAAAGGATTTGACAACGGAGGGAGCACATTTTTTCTTGATAGACTCATGCAGGAGGCAAAGAGTGTTGTGACACAAAGTGAAAATCTTAATAAGATTTGTAATAAAATAAAAGTATACCAAAAGTGTTTATGATAGGCCCATTATACAAGTGTGTTGAAAGTCCCACATCGCCTACCTCATGTCATTTGGTATGGTTTAAATACATGTTAGGTTACTCCACATATTGCCTATTGGTTTTATGTTGGAACCTTAACATGGTATCAGAGCCAAAGCCTAACATCTTTCCGGTTATTGTCATGGGCCAAAAGTTGCCCTTTAGTTGGGTCAAAAGTACCCTTTGCCTGGTCCGGCAGGCTTCGTTGGAGGGGGGGTGTGTTGAAAGTCCCACATCGCCTACCTCATGTCATTTGGTATGGTTTAAATACATGTTAGATTACTGCAAGTGTCTGAAAGGAGAAAGAAAAAGGTTGAACAAGATGAATTGGTTGGGGGAGGGGTACAAAAGGAAATTATGTTTATTTCTCAAATGTGATACTCCCTTTTGTCCTATTATGTATTGCTCAAGCCCATGACTTCCTCTTTATAGAATAATAAAAGACATGAGCATTATAAAATTCTGAATATTCAAAAAATTGAGTAAGGGTTAATGTTTTAAAAAATGATGTGGGAAAATGCTCTTTTCCATACATATTAAAGATTATATACAAATCATGTTATGAATAATTTTCATGGAGTAAGCATATATTAGTAGATTTCAGAAAGTTTATTCTCATTTGGATTTTAAATGTTCACAGTGGCTATTTGCAAACACAGTAAAGTTTAGAGATGTCTATATTTTTCCTGTTTGTTTTGCTATATTTGTAATTCTGTGAGGATTTTTATACCTTCATCTTGTTATTAGTTCCTCTTTAAAGCAAAAGAAACTTGTATATGAAGATACAAAGATGCATGTGTATCACTAATGGTGTGTCTTGTCTTCATAAATACTTTTTGTGCATTCTAAGTGGGCAATTATGATATAATGATTTACATCCTCTTAAATGGGCCAAAGTGAAATTTGCATTTTAATACAACAGTTTATGTTCTGACATGTATTATAATTTTGTGTTTAGTTATTGTAAATACTTTTCGACAAGAAGGTCTTGAGGTTCTTGGTTGGAGGTCTGTCCCTGTAAATACTTCTGTAGTAGGTTATTATGCAAAGGAGACCATGCCCAATATACAGCAGGTATTTGTTAAGATAGTGAAAGAAGAAAATGTTGATGACATTGAACGAGAACTGTACATCTGTCGGAAATTGATTGAAAAAACAGTAAGCTCAGAAAGTTGGGGGAATGAGCTTTATTTCTGTTCTTTATCAAATCAAACCATAGTTTACAAGGGGATGCTTCGCTCAGAAGTGCTTGGGTTATTTTATTCTGATCTTCAAAATGATATTTACAAGTCCGCTTTCGCCATATATCATCGAAGGTACAGCACAAATACTAGTCCTAGATGGCCTCTTGCACAACCGATGAGGCTTCTTGGTCATAATGGAGAGATCAACACCATACAGGTTGAGTTTTCTTTGCCATTTAAAATCTCTATAAAAATTTTCATTTGATTGATTTTGAAATTGCCACATATTTGTGCAGGGAAACTTGAATTGGATGCAATCACGGGAACCATCATTGAAGTCACCTGTATGGCGAGGTCGTGAAAATGAAATTCGTCCATATGGAAATCCAAAGGCATCAGACTCGGCAAATCTTGACAGTGCTGCAGAAGTATGTCAATAACTGACTATAGTTTTAATGTAGTAACTTTTTAACTGAATTTGCTTGTATGGTTCCTTTAATTTTTTTAAGTTAACTTTTAGTTCAGATTCTTTTCCATGATCCAATTGTTTAAAATTTCAATATGTCTAAGTTATTTGTTAGGTAATGCTCCTATTAAGGTGCTTACTTTTTGTTTGGACCAAGATGCTTAATATGGTTGATACTAGTGATTTTATATATTCATTGGCCTTATATAACCATTTTGAATTCTCCTGCAGTCTGTGTGTTTACTGGCATTTGGAGACAAATCATCCTTTATTTTTGAGTTCTTTGAAACTTTGGAATGCCCTTCTTGCACTTTTGTGATGGAATTGAAAGAGTTTTCCATGAATCCTTCTTATGTGATTATTTTAGACGCTTTGGCTGGAAGATGTGCAGCAAAGTTTTATGACCTTATGTGTGTATCTGTTCCTGTCTTTGTGTATTAAGTGAAAGTTTTTGTCAGAATTTTCTTCCTTCATTTCTTGTGCAATAATGTATTTCTTCTTTTATCAAATTAAATCATTGTTAAACAAAAATTGATGGTCCAAATAGCAATGATTGCTGTGAGTTGATTGTATTGTATTTTTTTACCGACTCCTCTTTTTTCCAACAGTTTTGTTTCTTACTTTAAGATATACAAATTAATCTTTTGTTTTGTTTTTGTAACCTCTTTTTTTTTTTTTTTCCTTTTGTTCAGATTATCACTATTATTATTAATTTCTGTGTATCAAATTCTCCAGACTTGCTTTAATAGTCATGTTTATTATATCATGATATGAATGGTCTACTATGGTTCAGTTATTGATAAGAAGTGGTCGAAATCCTGAGGAAGCTATGATGATTCTTGTTCCAGAGGCTTATAAAAATCATCCAACTCTGACAATCAAATATCCCGAGGTATTTCTTCTATATGGCTGACATATTCAATCTCATGGTTATAAATCCCCACTTGTTATTGCATGTTCTGTCAACTTTATTTTTCCAAATAAGAAAAGCATGTTCTTTCTGTCTTATCATTTACTGTAAGTGATAGTTGCTATTATTGTTTTTTGTTTCTCAAATATTACAAAAATTTGCAGATAGATGCACGATTGAGGAACAATTTTGGTTGCTTGTAATAAGAACTTGTTTTCCTCTGAAGTAAAAAGTTGTAATTTTGTCATAGAGAATGGTAAATGGTAGCCTGGTGCAAAACAAAGGATTGCTATTGTGAAAGGGGTGGTGGGGGATGATCTCATTGATGTGGTAATAGAACAGTTGCATGTGACAATGGAAAGTGTGTAAGCTATTTTAAGTTTGATTTCTTTTTGTGAAGCACCAGTATAAAAAATTCTCATTTGTCGCCCACAAAATTATGAACATTAGTTTGACATGTTGGAAACATGTTTTTGTGATATGACATAATCTTTCTTTCGGCTTTAAGAGATTATGCATGTCTCAAAATAATGGATTTGCTTGAAGCTTATTACCATCTATTATAATGGTAAATACAAAATTGCCTGGAATTTTAAATATTTGGATAAATGTGTTTTAGGTTACTCAATTTTTGGTCGAAATTGGTCTTCATTCCTATATTTTAAAAATGGTGAATTCGGTTCTTGTATCTTTGGTAATTTAAATTTTGTCCCTCTGTATTGTTCTTAGGATACTAGGGTGAGGCACAAAATTCACCAATTATAATAAATGTAAGGCCCAAACCAAAATCATTGTTTTTACTAGTAGTTTTTACTGAAAAATGAGGGACCTAAAGCACACTTTACTGTATAGACTCTATTTGTAAATTGTTGGTTTAAATGGATTTTGGCCTTGATGTCCTTTTGTTCTGAATGCTGAAAATGCCCTAAATAAAATAGAAATGTAGCATCTTAGTCTAATATAAATAAGGTTGAAACCCATTTAATATGTGATATGGTTTTGATTTTATGGTTCCCAACTTGTGTTGTATCTTGTCCGTTTCCAGTTTTCTGAACGATCCCATTAAGTTTTGATAGGACAGAAAGAGGGGAGAAGTAATTGTGGACTCTGAGTAGTGTAATTCTACTCAATTATGAGAATAGGTGTTTTCTTTCAGTTTTACGTTCTCTCCTCTGTCCCTCTTAAGAACCGTAATTTGGTATCAAGAGCCTAAAGATTCTTTATGGTTGAATTTGTCCTTCTCCTTCCCCTTCCTCTGCCATATTGTGAAGTTCATGAGTATTATAAACGAGAGCAAGAGTGCTATAACTTCGTAGTAAACTTCGTTCCATGTCTCTTGAAAATCTTCATTGGTGGAATTTATTCTTTGATTGAAATCTTTGGTTGATTGTCTTGCCTGAGTGGGAGATCTTGTTTGTCTTCAAGAATATATTAATGTGATTCTTGAAGGTTTGCCTCTAGATTATGAATCTGTTTTTTCTGTTATTGAAAGTAAGTTTGAACATCTTTCTATTGAAGAAGTTGTAACTCTAGCTCTTCACTTTCTCTCCTATCTGGTTCCAAGAACAGTAATATGGACAGTTAGAATTAGAACAGTAACGTGGTTAGAGTGGATAATTTTATCATAGCCAGGGGCTAGGAACAAAGGATTCATTGAATGAATTAGAGTAATTGGATGAAAGGGGTAATCCTTTGAGAAAAGTAAACCCTTGGAGGAGAGTTCCATCTCCTGTTCTCTGTTGTTCAATAAAACTGTTCATTTCCTTTGTTTTTATAAATTTCTCATTTCTCTTTTCAGCATTCATAACTGACAACCTTCTTAATTTTTCTGTATTAAAAAAACTATCTTGATTTTTCAAATATTCCTCAACATTTAAAAGTCAAGGATAAAGTAATTAAAGTAAAACCAGGGTTAAATAGAATTTTCCTACCCATTATGATGTTATTTCATAACTGAATCTAGGATACGAAAAAGACTTATAACCACTAGAATGGCCTATCTAGAGTGTGTTAGGCCCTTTCCCCATTATGATGAATGTTTTCAGTACTTATTCTGCAAAAGTGTAGAGTCTGTTATGTTTGTTGCATCGTATTTTTTTTTTTCCTAACAATCTTTTGCATCAAGTCTTTTCAATTTCTGCATGGAAGTGTCCTTAATGTTGCTTTTACTTCTTAGGCGGTTGACTTCTATGACTACTACAAGGGTCAGATGGAAGCTTGGGATGGACCAGCCTTGCTTTTGTTCAGGTATAAATGCTTAAAAGTTAATCCATGGGGACATGAGTGCCATGTTGGCCTATCACTGTATCCTAATTCATATCAAGTTACTTAAAGAACTTAAAAAGTAGCACTATTCTGCAAATCTTGATTATTAGAAACCAATAGCAAAACCAGAATTTAATGGTCCTAATTATGTAAGTCTTATGGAAGGGAGAGGCTTAGGTGTTCAAGAAAAAATTTTCAATGTGATTATTCTTTTACTCTCATATAATAATTCTTCTTTGATAAACTAATTGTTCTAGATTCCATGTTGTTTTGCAATATGATTGTTGATCAATTTTAATGCTTATTGGGACAGTAGTATTTATCGGGGGCATTCAGTCTGAATATAATTTATGAAATTAGGAAAATAATTTATTCTTTGTATCTTTTTGTTATGCCATTTCTTTACATCATGTAAATATTTACCAATTTTGCTTTTTTTTTTTTCCTTTTTAGAGAAAATCACTGTTAATTTGAATTTAATTATGGGCTGCTCATTTTCTTTAACAAACAGCTTTTCCATTTGCTTAGTAAATTTACTTGTAATACATAGGTATAAATAATACTTCTATTTTATTTTGTTTTTAATTTAACCTGAAGTTATCATTTTTTGTTGATTGCTGATAATCCAATTGTTGTGTCACAGTGATGGGAAAACTGTTGGTGCATGCCTTGATCGTAATGGACTTAGACCCGCAAGGTACTGGAGAACATCGGACAATATGGTCTATGTTGCCTCTGAGGTGAAGTCCCAAACTTTTATTTCTTCTAATTAATATAATATTGTATGATGTCATTGTTCAGATGACAGTTTTACTCTATTGTCTAATTTTATAAATTTTAGGAGATGATTGTTTGGCTGCATTTGAACTTGCAAAGGCCAAGCTTTGTTCAACTTCATTTTTCATGAATCTTCTATTATCTCACCTTGGGTCATTATCCTTTGTACGTTAAACTGTTTAGTCCCTTTTGCTGTTGGCTTTCCAATTTACTCCATATTAAATGTTTAGATTAAACAGAGATGGACAGTCACGCTTGTATGTAAAGATGTACACTCGAGAACAGTATTTCAGATATTAGTATGTGACCTTTGTTCTATTCTTTTCTGATAGGACTGGTAATGTGGGCCTAGACTTAAATGGAAGGGCCAAAATATGGAGGGTGTATGTGAGGAGAAACAAAGGTGTGTGTTGGAAGTCCCACATTGCCTACCTCATATCATGTGGTATGGTTTAAATACTTATTAGGCTATTTCACATATCGCCAATTGGTTTTATGTCAGAACCTTAGCATGGTGTATTAGAGCCAAAACCTAACTTTTTTCCGGTTATTGTCTTGGACCAAAGAGTTGCCCTTAAATACTCATTGCCTGATCCGGCAGGCTTCATTGGCGGGGGTATTTGAGAGAGGGAGAGGAGAGAGTAAAGGGAAGGAAATATTTTGTTATTGTTTTTGTATGGGCAGAGTATTGCTCTATGGCAGAAGTTAACTCTTTCTGTAAAATCTTTCTCCATTATCCAAGATCAAGATTCTTTTTCTCTCAATTCTTGTTATTCTGTTTTCTGGAGTTTGGGTCTGGAACATTTTCCTTGTGCGCATCCTGTGAATATGGTCTTGCTTTGCCTTTGCCTCTGATGTTTTTGTTTTATTTTATTGCTCCTACTATAGATAATGATAAATATCAAATATTTGGTCTGTTTAAAAATTTTATTTGAAAATTGGCATTTCTTGAAGTTTATGTGCAGTATTTATAATCACAGTTCTGAAGCCAGAAGTTCAGTTTCATGACTTCCAATTATTGTATTTAAGATATTTTACCTTGTGTCATTCACTTTTAGGTTGGTGTTGTGCCAGTGGATGAGTCAAAGGTTGTCTTGAAAGGTCGTTTAGGTCCAGGCATGATGATAACGGTTGATTTACCGGGTGGTCAGGTTTGTACTGGACTCTATTATATTATAACGGTTCATTCTGTTACTTATTTTACTAGGTCCACTCTTGAGCTTGGCATATTATATTATCTTCTAACATCTGCTTGTTCTTGCATTATTAATATTGATTTAAATATTTGTCTATAGGTTTGTATAGTTTATAAAAGAAGGAAAAGGTAAGGTAGTTAGTACAGCTGTATCTGAACTATTGTAAATAGTTGTAGGAGAGTTGGGAAGAGGGATATTTTTAGAAAAGAGAAATAGAAGGATAGTTGATGAGTGAGGTTCTCTTGAATAACCTTTGATTGTATTCTGTACTGCAGTTAGACAGTGTTGAAGCAAGGTAAAGAGAAACCAGGCTTTGAATATAAAGAGGAAGTGTTGTTGTATGTGGGAAGATTAGTCTTATCCTTTAATTTGTAATGGATTCCAAAGATTTTGCATGAATTCCATAAGATTCCTCAAGGAGGCCACTTGGGATATTACGGAACTTATAGGATATTAGCAGCTAATATGTTTTGGTTGGTATGAAGAAGGTATTCTTAAGATTAGTCTTATCTAGCTGCTGGCCCAGGGGGATTACTTCAACCCTTGAATATCCCTGATAAGGTGTGGGAAGAAATCTCTATAGATTTCATAACTGGTTTACCAAAGTCCAAAGAATATGCAGCCATCTTGGTGCTAGTTGATAGATTATCCAAGTATAGCCATTTTATTCCCTTATTTGGCCTGTGTCTTAGCTGAGAGTTTTACCCAAGAGATGGTGCAATTACATGGGGTTCCAGCTTCTATAGTTAGTGACCAAGATCCAATCTTAGGGCAGGAAATGTTGGTTTCCTTCAAGGACCTTGCTATGTGGCAGTAGGATTGTCACCCTAATGTTTTTCTGCTTACTTCTTATTAATATAAAAAACTTTCTTACTCTTCGGTTATTCTCTTATTTCTGTTTTTAATTCCTAACTTAGAAATTTTCTTTTATTTGCCACAATGTTCTCTGTTCCCCAATGTGACATGAAACCATTCATTAAATCTCAGTGTTACCCATTCCTTTTGGCCTTTTCTATTGATACTGAAATTGTGATAAAATCAAATACACATATCACAAACTCTTAAGTTAGTTACAGTCTCAATTATTGATTTTATAATTAATGGTTATTAATTAAATCCCCAATCCACCTTCTCTTTTTGCATGCACTCTGTTCTTTCTATTGTTTGCACACGTTTTAGTTCTAATGGAATTCCTTGGGAAAGGTTTGTCCTTCGTCTGTGTTTATTCTGTATTTTTTGTGTGTCGTAGGTCCTCATTCTGTTCTCCTGCTGACACTATCCGTTCAATATGTATGTTCTGTTCTGATGTTTTTCTCCCAAATTTCATTGGACATCCTCTCAGAGTTGTAGCTTCCCACGTGGATGATTACACTTAATTTCTTGATTTTTGTTCTATGGTCAAGACTACATCATATGAAATTTAATCTTCTAAGAGATTTACAAATTTACTGTCAAAGCAACTGAATTAAATTTTTACAAGTTTCTAGAAATTCTACCCATGAAAGCTTCACTAACATCATTTTGTTTTACTGAGATATAGGTGATTGACTGATAAAATCAATTTATAATTTTATATCAATCAGGAGAATATTTTAATATACAGGGAGGGTCTGGTCTGTAAATTTGAAATTGTGGTTGTTCATCCCTTTGTTCTTTTAGTAATTTTTTTTTAAATAAATAATATTTTATTTTCCTGTCAAAAGTGGTGTATGCTGTCTTGTGGGATTATTTTACATTCCAACTGTTTTTTGTGGTAGGTCTATGAGAATACAGAGGTTAAAAAACGAGTAGCCTTATCAAACCCATATGGGAAATGGATCAAGGAAAATTTGCGGTCTTTGAAGCCTGGGAACTTCCTTTCAGCCTCTGTGATGGACAATGAGGCAGTATTAAGACACCAACAGTGAGAGTTCTATGCTTATCAACACGTCTTAGTTTTATCCTTAATACAAAATGCTTGTTTTTAAGTGTTTCTATTTATAAATCCTATCAAACCCTTTGCTTTACTCACTGCTATTGCTTAAACATTCTATATGGTTCTCAAGTTTTCTTACTCTTTATGAGGATCGTGAATTGTAAATTAAACTCTTAGAATTTGGGCTTGCAGCCAAACTAAACCTCACAAAATCGATATGTATGGTGAGGACCATTTAAGTTTTATAATTTCTATTTTAGCATATATATAGCTAATGTGAGACTGGACCACTATTCTTGAGATTGTAATTATGGCAGTACTAAAGAAGTGCAAATGGTATAAGGAGATTTAGGAAGGTGGCAAAGGAGATTCTCTGTAAATCAAATGGTTGAGGACTTATGGGTAAAAAGAATCTTTGTGGTGGTATGCAGGTGTGCTAGAAACAGTTCAGGTCAAAAGAAATAGTCATGCAGCATTGTTTGTGAGTAAGAATGCAAAACATTGGGGGAAATGTCGTAGCTAAGATAGATACCAAGAAGACTGTGCGCTAGAGCTTTGATGGGTTATACCAATCCTTCGGCACCGGAGATGTGAGGGGTAATTGTTGACTTGCTAAATTGTAGGGAAAGAAAGGAAACTTGGCTGAAGTGCGATGCAATAAAGATGAAAGGTAGTCTTGATTACAAAACAAGGTATTAAGGATGACAAATAAAACATTAGTTGGATCAAATAATATACCCATTGAGGCATGGAAGAATTTGGGTGATAAATTATATGGCTGACAAAGTTTAATAAGGGGACTATGTGATCTAAGAAAATGTTGAAGAGTGGAGGAATAGTGCTCCTAAGTTTTATTTATAAGAACAGAGATATATACAAAAATACTCAAATTACAAGGGACTAAAGTTCATGAATTATACTTCGAATTTATGAGAAAATGTAATCAAGCAGAGATTAAGACAGTAGCCTCGGATTTCTAAAATTGAATTTGATTTTAAGAGTTTAATTCACAATTCATCTTAGGCACAAATAAAACATCTGAGATATAATTTGTACCTATTGGAGTTTCAAATTCAACAAATCATTTTCCTTTGACATCAACACTTTCTCCATTGCCAATGATGCCTAATTGAGTTCTTTAAAAATATTAGCATTGTGGGTCATATGATTTGTGCATTCACTATCTATAAGTCACTCCCCTTTATTATTAGTTGTTGAACAAATTGTAGTAAATACATGCTCCTCAAATTGTTCTTCATTGTCAACAATTTGTGTTGGGTTTTTTTCTTAATCAAAGAAAAATAATGCTATTACATCACTATACAGGTTGCAGTCCCAACCAGATTAGCGCTACAACTATACCAATCTTATGCAGCATTCTTAATATAATTTAAAAAAAAAAAAATACAAAAGTTGGGCTTGTTACCTGCTAATTTGTTTTATTTTTACAAATCATCTCAACATGACCAAATTGATTACCGGCCCTTCCTACATTTAATGCTTGGCCTGAGCCAAAAAAATATTAATTTTGCACATTTTGTAATTCTACAGCAAGAGCTTAAATGACCATGTGTGAAAATTGAAGAACTAGTGCCACAATGCACATTTTTTGCATATTTAATTGGGGAATCTCGACTTCTTTTGCTTATGTAAATGGAAAATTAAGGATATGGAGACAAGATTTGGAACCTCATCACTTTTTCGTACAAGTGAGGTAGAGTATGGAATGTTAATGCAGTTCAACAATCCCAACTCAAGAAAAACTAAGGAAACATATTTTACCTGAACTAACACAGTTCTAAGTATTTATTCTCCATCATATAGAACGGTGTAGAAATAGAGGGAGATTTAAACCTTAGGATTCAAGTGAACAGGTGAAATGCACGAGTGCTTTGGGTGTTCTCTGTAACAAAAAGGTGTATTTCTCAAGATTTGAATGAAAAATAACTGTTTTATTAGACTAACAATGTTGTTTGAAGCTGAATGTTGGGGGATGAAAAGCCAAAAAGGAGAAGAAATTTAATGTTGAAGACATGAGAATTCACTTTTGATGAGTGGGTATACTGGACAAGATATAATTAGGAATGAACGAATTGGACAAAAAAAAAATGGGTAGCTAGCACCTTTGGTAGAGGGTAGTAGAAACTTGCCTTATGTGGTTTTGGCATGTGTAGAGAAGACTTATAGAAGACATAGGGAGGAGAGTAGATCAAATTGAGTGTAACACCTTCTCCAGCAGCAGAGGGAGAGCAAGAAAACCTTTAAGTGAAGCTGTTAATAATGATTTAGCAGTCAATAGTTTGTCTATAGACATGACTTATCGATAGGGCATTATGGCATTAACTGATTCATATAGCAAACCTCACCTGGTGGGTATTATTGCTGTTGCTATCGTCTTTTTGTTTTATCAAGATCAACGTTAGTGGATTGTGGCTGTTTTCCATAAGCTAATGATGATAAGAAAGCGCTTTTGCTTTTTATTGAAGCTTGCAATAAAACATCTTATATGATTGTTACTCTTCTGATCTTTGGTATTACTTCCAGGGCATTTGGCTACTCTAGTGAAGATGTCCAGATGGTGATTGAAAGTATGGCTTCTCAAGGAAAGGAGCCCACGTTTTGCATGGGAGATGATATTCCATTAGCAGCATTGTCTCAGAAACCTCACATGCTTTTTGATTATTTCAAGCAACGGTTTGCACAGGTAAGACTGAGTACTTTCCTACGAAATTAATTTGCTCTGTTCTCTGACAAAGTTTTGCTATGGTAGTGGAGAGTTACTTATCTCATTTGTCTTGATCATGTTTACTGTAAAAATGCTTTGTTTTTTCACAATGTCACGAAATTCATGTCATTTCATGATAATGTTTTTTGTCTATATTATTCATCGTATATCACCCAATAGGCTCTCTGTGCATCCTTGGGTCAGAGAACCTCTAGGCTTAAGTACCAAATCAAGAAGCTTATCCTACTCAATGTGGGACTCCTAATATTGACGTTCAGGTATAGTTTATGCAGTGTCAAAGAATGGTGATTGGTCGCATTCAAAATGCATGTACCCATATACATGACATGAACAAAATTCATATGCTGTATTGATGCATTCTAGTTTTTTTTTTTTTTTTTTTTCTTTTTTTCTTTTTTTAATAATTAAAGTTGGATGGTTGGTATGGGTTGGGTAGGCATTTGGGACAAAGGGTTTGCTGGAGAAATCCATCTCCTTGAAAAAAAGTAGATATTATAAGCATTTTAATCCAATGTTAAAAGTAAACACTAGAAAATATCTTTTAAATATACTTTACTAAATATTCTTCAGAGAAAAGAGAAATGACTATTTGTATACTCGACAGGACTATATTTATGACCTTTGACTGACTTTTGGACTGCCCATAATTAATTGGACTCCCAAATATGATTGTGCACCTTTTTAGGTTTTACTAACTAATCAAATACATAAAACCATATACTAATTACCAGTTCTAGACATAAGTATTGACTTGAGTAGATAAAATATCAATAGCACTAATTAATTATTTTGGCATCATCCCTAGATGTATAACATACTGTGAAAGCTTTTTCCTAATGGTTCTTTAGTTCCTTGGAAGTTAAGGAATAAATGGAAAAATATTTTGGAGTCTATTAAGGATGTACAGTTTAGATTTTCACATTATTTTTGGGAGGGAAATTGGTGTGCGGATAGTTTTGCTGCCTATCATCTTAGAACTTTCAGTTTTACTTGCGGGGATGGAGTGCCTCCTTGTATTGTCTCTAATGATTGCAGAGATAGATGTGGTGATCTCCCACATTTTAGATTCTCTTAGGGGGTTTTGGTTTGCTCCCCCCCCCCCCGCCCCCCACTTTTGTATTTCTTTTTCTCTTTTAATTGTATTAAGAATGTTGCATATGATTGATATAGGTTGTAGTGCTAACCTGGTTAGGATTACAACCTGTATAGTAATGCAATAGCATTTTTTCCTTATAGAATCTGCAAATTAGTGAGTAGGTTGGAACGTATTTGTTTACATTGAGAAGTCTTTTTTTGCATCTTGACTTTTGTTTCTTCTGTAGACTTTGTTCACTGTGACTGACTAAAGAAAGATGGCTCTGCTGAGATTGTGTTTAATACATAGATTTAGAGGACCATAGTAGGAAATTATGCTTGGTGTTGTATAAGGTTTTGGTTTGGATTTCCTTTTCTTATTGATATTTGCTTGTCAAATTTCTTTCTTTCTTGAATTTACTGTGATGTCACCACCCCAATTTTCTTTCTTTTCCGTAGTACAGGTTACAAATCCTGCAATTGATCCTCTTCGAGAAGGATTGGTTATGTCTCTTGAAGTGAATATAGGGAAGAGAGGGAATATATTGGAAATTGGGCCTGAGAATGCTTCACAGGTATCTTGGCACACATATGTAGTTCGTCATTCTCATATAAGATGTGAATTTTTTGTCTTTCCTTTCTCACGAGATGATGGTGTGTTTTGGAGCAGGTTATGTTATCTAGTCCAGTATTGAATGAAGAGGAGCTTGAATCATTACTAAAAGACTCCCAGTTAAAACCACAAGTATTACCTACATTTTTTGACATAACTAAGGGCATTGAAGGTTCGTTGGAGAAAGCATTAAATAAGCTTTGTGAAGCTGCAGATGAAGCTGTCAGAAATGGTTCTCAGTTGCTTGTTTTATCAGACCGTTCAGAAGCACTGGTAAAGACCATCTAGTAGCACCTACTTCTTTCTACAGAATATTTTTATCTCTCAAGGATAGATAGAATCAATGCTTTTATTTTTTTGGTTAATAATAGAAGCAATGATTTGGTACATATGTAATTAGATGACCCCTAGACATGATATGCTAAGTGATGATGACATTGACAGGTCCTCCTCATTTTCTAATTTAATTGTCAATTCAAATTTTTTGAATTTGTGAACATCCATACCATTTATAAACTTTTTGTTTCTCATATGCTTTGTAGAGATATTATTTTTCTTTCCATATTAAGTAATAAAGACTGTTGAATTTGTTTCTCAGCACATCCCCCTCACTTACTTGAGATTCCTTGAGTACGCACCATCATCTCCCATTTATGCTTTTTGGCTTGCTTATGAGTGATTACACGAATCTTTGACTGTTGAGACACGCTGTGGCTACAGCTACAACCTACCTATAAGATCTCTCCTTGTTAAAATGGTGGAGCCCGATGACTTCCTCTTGATACCAATTGATTGGAACCCACTCTCAAAAGCTAGCTATTAAGGAGAGACAACCAAACACTATACTCTACTAAACATCCCCTACTACTTGATGTGGGACGTAGACACCCCATGATTCCTACTCCAACCTTTCTCCTATAAATACTCTCCCAAGCCTATCTCAACATTCATTAGAAATACCATATGATACATATTTCCTCTTTCATTCCAAGCATATTTTCCTTTTTCATCCTTGATTGTCACCCAAATACACTATTCTTCATCACTAGTAAGTATAGACCCATGCTTCTCCCACACACAAGCGTTACATTCTCTTCACCATTCCTCCTTTCACCTTAAAACTTATCTCTCCACCCTAACCTGATTGTTACCTCCAACAATCTTAAAGTTCCCTTAAAGCTTTTTACTTGTTGCTTCATAATGGAAGTGCTTCTAATCTCACGTGAGGCAGAGACACAACCTGAAAGATGTCTCAACATCATAGATAATCTACTTGGATACTTGAGGTGTCTTGTCCAATGATTGTTCATCTCGCTACCATTCTCTGATGGCTAGATCCTCACCATATCTTTTTTTGCAAACAATCCACTTTGAAACTTTGTGTAACTCTCCCCTGCCCAAACATAGAATATAACTTTTATATCATTGTTCCACTAGCTTGTGGGAGCCATATGGGATATTACCTAATAATAGAAAGAATGTCAAAGAGCTTGTTTCTGACATTCCTTTCATTACATGAGTTATTATTCTTCATGTTGTCGTCCATCAGTTTTCCATTTTCCATGAATTACAGATCATATCTGAAGAGTGTGAATAGCTGACAACTATTTTTTATTCATTTAGATTCCATTTGTGCTAATAGATCTTTAATTGACTTATATAGTGATAGGAGCTTATCTTGGCTATGCATTCCTGGTCAAGAGTATTTTATTTTAAGACTAACGCATTATGATTCTATGGTCAAAATTAACACCTTTCATGAGAGCATGAATTCCTATATGCTTCCTATATAGTACATATTGGATGTGTGTCTGACCTAATAATGTGGTCCTTTCTTCATCTTCTATTTTTTATATAGGAACCAACTCATCCGGCAATTCCAATTCTTCTTGCTGTTGGTACTGTTCATCAGCATTTAATCTCGAATGGCCTGCGGACATCAGCTTCAATTATAGCAGATACTGCCCAGTGCTTTAGCACTCATCAGTTCGCATGTTTAATAGGATATGGTGCAAGGTTATTTAATGTCCTCACTCAAGTCTTTGTTCGATGTAGTGCTTTTCATTTATAGTTTCGTCTTTATTTTAATTTTATATTTGGAATTTGTTATGTGATCTAACCTTCATTTATTAGTCTCAAAATGTCGCTAGGCCTAGTACAATTGAGGTCTTTTTTAATATTTCTATAACGATTTACATAAATTGTGCTACCCGCACATATAATTCATTATTTATAATCTAATAATGATACAATCAAAGATATAATTAAGGAAATAAAACGCAAGAAAACCCCTAATTGCTAGAAATACAATTTGTCTATATTTCACTAATTACTAGAAAACCCCTTCCTAATCAACAATAGAATAGGAGAAAATTTTGGCATTGCTTTTGTCTTCATATAATAATCCTTGACCTAGAGCACTCTTGATGTATGTAAGAATGTGCATTACAACATCTCAATGACTATCACAAAGGGTGTTAAGGAATTGGCTCACCATGCTAACAACAAAGGTAATGTTCGGTTCGTTAAGGATAAGGTAATTAAGTTTACCTACAATACATTGATATCTTTCTAGTTCTTCTTGTGGCTCTCCTTGATTTGAAAGAAGCTCCACATTGACATCTATAGGAGTATCACTACAATAAAGTTTGTCAATCTTAGTCAAGATGTTCAATGCATACTTTCATTGGGAAATGACAATACCATATGAGGATTGAGCAACTTCAAATTCTAGGATGTTTGAGCATACTCATATCTTTCTTATGTGATTATTATCAGAGTCATTGTCAACAATGACAATGTCATAAACATAGATAACTAAATACGTGCATAGACAAAATAAAGAGTGGAGAAATATTATTGAGTTATTAGCCTCACAATAAGTGGTGCTAACATGAAGCAAAATAAAAGTAGCCAAATAAGACTTGAGGAGGCAACTTTAATACATAGAGGGAACGTTGAAGTTTATAGATGAGAGTCACCTGAAACCGTAAAACCTGGTGTGGCTAATCCACATCAACCTCTTGGAACTCAACATGAAAGAAGTCTAACAATGAATGACAACCCATAGCAAGAAATAGTCAAATAGAGGTGATGTTGGCCAAAAGGAGGTGTCCGTATCAAAAAAGGGCATATTTCCAAAGGGGGGATTAGGCATGAGTTCTTCTATAGACATGAGAATAGACACAAAATCCAAAGATGAGAAAAAGGAGGAATAGGACAGAGTTAAATGATCATAATTAAGGGTAAACACTTATAAAGGGTTATAATTATGAGAGAATCAAATACCTTTACAAAGGATCATGTGTAGGTTAGGTGGAAGCAACATTACTAAAAGAGACCTGAACTACAGGTGACAAGATGAACCAAAATAATGGGTGGAACATTCGTAGGGCCTTCTTCAATGGTAGAAAATGGTAGAAAAAAAGAATAAGTTGGCGTCAAAGACCGTAACAATAGTGAAGACAAGATACTATAACACTTTTTTGAAGGAGGGAGTAACCAAAGAAGATGCATTTGACATACTAGGCGGAAAGTTTAACTTCACCTAGTGTTAGGTCATGAATAAAGCAAGCTTATAGTATATAGAGATTGTTGATATTGAGGGTACCTAATAGAGTAAGGAACATTGTAGTCAATTGTCACACATAGAAGAAGTCATGTGGTTGATGAGGTAGCACATTGTAAGAAGTGTATAACCCCAAAAGCAAAGAAAAACATCCTAGGGAAGGAGGAGCTTGTGAATTGTTTCAACCTTTGATTATTGGAAACTCAATTCCATTATGGTGTGTGGGGATTTGATGAAGGATACCCTACGAGCTTAGAAATGACTGAAACTAGGAAGACATATATTGATGGGTATAATTAGCATGCAAATTTTAATTCAAGAGCCAAACTAATTATGGATTTCATTTGAGAACCCTTGGAAAATTATTAAAAAAAAATGGGAATGATTTTTCTTCAAATAACCCCACTACAATGAGAAAAATCATCATAAAAGATAACAAAATAAAAATAACCATAGGTCGAACAAACTCAACTATGATCTCAACTATCACCAAATAAATGTCAAAAAAGGAAAAATCTATGGATGACATTGACAACATTAAAATAACCCAGGGTTTATCTTACTGTTGTGTTTTTACACTTATCAAGAAGCCATTCTTTCATTTAAACATGAACAAATCTGATATTTTCTTTCAAACTGAAAAGTTGTTTCCTGGTGTTATTGAAATTTATTCTACTTTGCATAAGTTGGTTGCAGCAATGGAAGATGGGAATAATACCTAGTTAAGTCCATTTACCTTTTCTTAAGTATAATGTGATATATCTGTGTTGTTTGTTTTAGTGCTGTGTCGCCATACTTGGCATTCGAGACATGTCGGCAATGGCGTTTGAGTAATAAAACTGTTAATCTGATGAGGAATGGAAAGATGCCCACTGTATCAATTGAACAGGCCCAGAAGAACTATTGCAAAGTTAGTCCTCAACTTCAAACCGCTCTTTTTGGCTTTATTTCAGACGTGAAAGTAATGAATTTAATTATTTTTTCGTTCATTTTTCGCATGTAGTTATGATAGCTATGCGTATTCCCTGGTTATTTAATTTGCATTTTAAATAGGACAAACATAGTATAGCAGAATCTGGTTGAAAATGATTCACTAATGCCATGCTAAAATCAGTTTCATTCAATAACTGTGAATGAGATAAACACATTTTACACAAAGGCAAAAGTGAATCAAGAGTTGATTAAGATTATGAGTTTTTGAAGGGATTTTGAAGATAAAATAGATAAACCATCAAAGAAGAAACCAAGAAAGACCTGGTTACATTCATCTAGAAGGTGAGATAAATGGAAGAACTTGAAATTATTTGGTGGGTTTGCAGTTCAAACACCAATCCCCCTTTTATAGGTTAAACTTTAGAATGAAATAATGAAAATCTAAACATATTAAAGGAAAATAGGGTAAATAGGAAATGAAATAAATTTGCCCTAACAATTGTAAAGAAAAGGGAGATTCTTTTCTATTTTCAAATTTCGACTTTAGTAAATGATGGAAAGTAAAAATGTGAAAAATTGATCTCTGAATGATTGAATTTTTTATTTATTTTTGACAATAGGCTAATCTAATACATCTATTTTTATGCTCATAATCTAGGTCAAATATGAGCATAATATGAGTAATACTAAGCCAGCTTTATATGGCTATAGTAAGACTTAAAAAACAAGAATTTCATATTCAAAAAGGGACCTTTAAGTGAAAAAACTTTTTCCTCCTATTTATTTTTAAAATAACTCACGACCTAATGATATTATGTTTTTGCATGAATTTCAGGCTGTAAAGGCAGGTCTTCTTAAAATTCTTTCAAAAATGGGCATCTCATTGCTTTCAAGGTAAGTGATATGAAATAAAGGGCTAACTAATGCCAGAGAATACTGGTATAACTTCTTATGTTTCAATATGTAGCTTGTCTAATGCTTTTGGAAAATCTGCTTTTTTCAATTCCTTGTTTATAGTTACTGTGGTGCACAAATATTTGAAGTATATGGATTAGGAAAGGAAGTTGTTGATCTTGCATTCAGAGGAAGTGTGTCGAAAATTGGTGGATTGACTTTTGATGAGGTGAGTAACATTAATGACCCAAGCCTCAGAATGAAAATTCAAATTGTTTTGATACTTTACTAGCAATATAAGCATTAGTTCTGTGGCTGACAACACTCAATCACCACAGTTGTTACACAGCTAGATAGACATTGCTCAGTTCATTAGACCTTTCATTGTTTTTCTCTAACATATTTTTGTTTGAAACTCTTACCTTATATATCATATTGTCAATTTATCACTGTTTCCTAAAAGAACAGAGCCACAAAATTTTATTTTTTTGGACCTGTATTTGTATACACAAATCTGGATATGCTCTTTTGATAAAATTTTCACTTCAGATTCCTTAGTATTCCTTTACATAAAATAATTCAGAAATTATTTAAAGATTAGACAATACAGTCTAGAGTTACATTTATATTCTGAGGAAAGAATGAACTCACTTCTGTATCAGAGTGTGATGATAACTGCTCAGACGCAGTAGTTACTTTAGCAGCCACACTTTTAGAATTTGTATGCTATCTTCTCCTAGCTTATTAAATTTACGTTTGTCAACACCCTGGAATTTAAAGTATTTCTTTTGCACAAGAATTTGTGAATGTGTTCGTGTACAGAAAGCATCAGTGTGAGAATGCACTTGTGCTGAATACTTGAATTTTCATTATAATGAATATCACCTACTTCAACTTTTCTTTTCTGATATGGAGCAGGTGGCAAGAGAGACTTTGTCTTTCTGGGTGAAGGCATTCTCCGAAGATACAGCTAAAAGGTTGGAAAATTTTGGATTTATACAGTCCAGACCTGGAGGTATGGCTTCAGTGCTGATTCTCTTTAAAACTAAAGAATCTGTTGGCTTTTGTTATATGCTTTTTGAAAAAAACTGAATGAGTGTTATTTCTTTATCAATGGACTAGCATTTATAGCCATAGTAGTGTTCTGGGTATTTATATAAATTGACTGATTTGATTTACATTCTCAAAGGGGAATATCATGCAAATAACCCAGAAATGTCAAAGTTGCTCCACAAAGCTGTTCGTCAGAAAAGTCAGAGTGCCTTTTCAGTTTATCAGCAATATTTGGCTAATCGACCTGTGAATGTGATTCCCGGATATCCTATTTTATGTTGTTAATATTCATTTCATTTCAGATTTATGTGAGATATCTATTGTTCATTTCAGGTTCTCCGAGATCTTCTTGAATTCAAAAGTGATCGTACTCCAATTCCCGTGGGGAAGGTTGAACCTGCTTCATCTATTGTGCAACGGTTTTGCACTGGGGGCATGTCACTTGGAGCTATTTCCAGAGAAACTCATGAAGCAATTGCAATTGCCATGAACAGATTAGGTGGAAAATCAAATTCAGGGGAAGGTGGTGAGGTAATGTTATAGTTTAACTGTTGGTATTCAGTTACAGGCAATTTATTTATTTTTTCTATTTTTATTTTCTGAAATTATTTGCATTTTAACAATGACCTATTGTATTCATTTATTGCATTCAGGATCCTGTTAGGTGGAAACCACTTACAGACGTTGTTGATGGTTACTCTCCAACTCTTCCACACCTTAAAGGTCTTCAAAATGGGGATACTGCTACTAGTGCCATAAAGCAGGTTATCTCACTGAAAATTAAAAATGACTTCATTAACTTTGTTGACTATAGTAATGTTATAATATCAACTGTGTGATTCTGGGAAATTCGTTGAATGGATGGATGTACTTAGCCGTTTTGTTCTTTCTCCAGTACAATTATTTTACCCTTTTACAAGATCTTTATGGCATACAGCTATCTAGAAACTATTATTCCCTGCTGAACGTTGAAAATTAATCAACCTAATTATATACTGTGATATGATTTGTTTAGCTGATGCCTTGCAATTATATGATTTTAATTTGATGTTCATGAATGATGGTTGTGAAGTAATTCTCTCTTTCTCCACTCACCCAAAACTAAGTATGGAAGATAGAAATTCTGGGCTATTATGTGAGTGCATTATGAATGGTGAGGCTGCCAACATATGATCACCTTCCTGCTTTATTAGCTTAACAATCTAGATGCAGGAAGGGAATATAGCAACAAAAATTTTAAGATTAGGTTATAGATATTTCCTTACATTGTATTCTTGGAGAGTGTGATTTACATTGTATTCATCTTATAAGCCAGTTTTAGAGGATTAACTTGAGATAAATAAGAGAGAGAAAATATATTTTAGAGGGTTTGAATCTATCTCTCTTAGGTTTTGTTATTTGTATATGAAAAAAGGAGATATGTTATCATTGATAGAAAAGAGTGCAAAACAAGTAAAAGCACGTTTGGGTGCAGATATGTACAGTCCAAAAAGTTTTCTAATAAAGTTTATTCTAATACAGATAAATCAAACCTGGAACATATAAACTAAATCGGAGTCGTAAGTTGAATAATTATTGGTCGTGTAAGCCTATTCTCTCAAGGACATTGTTAACAAACCTTCAAATTAATTATTGGATTTGTTAAAATAAAAGAGTTATAAGCTGAATCTCTAATGTATATTAAGCACATAGGGTTATCTATTTATAAATAGCAAAATTCAAAGATATGGGTCTAATTTCGTTACGTCTAAAACTCCTCCTCAATCTGGTGCATATAAATCGTATGTGTCAAGTTTGTTACAAATCTAATCAATTCTAGATCTCATTAATGATTTGGTAAACACATATGCTAGTTGGTCATTAGAATTGACAAATTTAGTCTTGATTTGTCTAGATACAATCTTTTCTTGAATAAAATGATAATCAATCTTAATGTATTTGGTCATTTCATAAAAGATAGTATTTGAGCTAAAATGAAGAGCAATTTGATTGTCACATATAAGTGTCATTTGGGTGACCTCTTCAAATTGCAATTCTTTAAGTAATTGTTTAAGGCAAATAAACTCAGAAGTAACTACGGTTATAGCTCTATATTCTGTTTCACCCTAGGTCTTAGTACAACATTTTGTTTCTTTACCTTCCAAGAGATCAATTTGTCTCCAATGAAGACACCATATTAGACAGAGAGTCTGCCCAATTAGCATCTGCATAACATACAACTCTAGTGTGATTATTGTGTCAATATAACAAATATTTTCCAAGAAAACCTTTAATATACTATAATATATCGAATGATAGCATTCTAATGATCTGCATATGGAGAATTAAAAAATTGACTCACCACATTGATTATAAAAGGAATATTAGGGTGAGTAATGGTAAGATAGTTCAATGTTCCAACTAATCTTTTATACTTTTTAGGATTTGAGAGTGGCTCCCCAAGATTAGGTTGGAGTTTGGCAATTGGATCCATGGGTGTGTAACAGACTTTGAATTCATTATCCAGCTTCCTCCAAAATATTCCTAAGAAATATCTAAGTTTGCTAGGGTCTTTGGTTTAAAAGTAATGACAAAGGTGTTGTTTTACCTATGAGATGCCATGATGATTGTTATTTGTAAGTATAATATCATCAATGTATACTACTAGATAAATACATCTAGCATTTGAGTGACGGTAAAATACTGAATGATATGCTTCACTATAAGCCATACCAAATTGTTGAATAATAATGCTAAATTTGTCAAATCAAGCCTTACGAGATTGCTTGAGGTCATATAAAGATTTGCCGAGATGACATACCAATATAGAAGACTCCCCTTGAGCAATACATAAATTTATTTTTTTATTTCATTATGAAATACATAAAGATAGGCAAAAGTATCAAAATATTCATCAATAAAGATAACAAAATATTTAAATCCAAAAGATGATACATGGTTTGGGCCCCAACTATTAAAATGGATGATAAAAAAAATAAATTTATGTATTGGTGCATAATGTTTAGGAAAAGATTATCTAAAATGTTTTGGTTGGTAATTGACATGATTCACATTCTGTGGTTTAAAGTCTTCTAAGTTCAAGAACCATTTACTTCAACTTTAACAAATGAGAATGGCCCAAACAATCATGTCAAAACATGTAAGATGGGGATACAAAATAAGACACAGATGAACTAGTTCCAAAATAGTATAAGTCTTTATATTCATGTCCTTCACCAATCAGTTAACCTTTACCACATTCTTGTATAATAAAAGAATTGGCTTCGGAGGCTACTGCACAATTTACTAACTTGGTTAATTGACTTAAAGAAATAAGATTAAAGGGACATGTAGGATAAAAAGAACAGATTTTAAGTTCAAGGAAAGATAAAGTGAAACTTGGCTAATTGCTTGAGAAACGACTTTAGATCCATTTATGAGATGAAGATTTTAGGAAAAGGGAAGAGAACAAAATGTGTTACTAAATATATGACTGGAAGCACCTAAGTTAATTATCCATGGACTTTGTGTTTCCATGGATTGTAAAATGTAGGTAGTGACAAATTGGGATTGGTAGAAGATCGTACTAAACTGTTAGATTTAACCTCAAATATTCTTGATATTCTTTATCAAAGAACTTTAGCTTAGCAATTTCAGATTCAAAGATAATAGTCGTCTAACTAGGAAATCATGCAAAGAGTAGCATTTTTCTTGTGTATGACCCTTTTACAATAAGTACCTTAAGGATGTCCCCTACCACCACATCTTCCTCTAGTGTTATATCCTTCCCTTCCACGTGTAGAAACCATGACAGAGATTCAATAAGCTCTTGCAAAGTTTTACTTTTAAGAGCTAGAACACGAAGAAGCTGTCTTATCAAACTTTTCATGGTTGGAACTTCTTGACCTGTGAAGATTTGATCCCTAATATGATAAAAATTTGAATTCATGGCATGAAGGACCATTTCGTATAATTTGTCTAGCTTCTTCGAAGTTGTTATCTTCCAAAAACATTTTCAATTCCTCAACAACATATTGTCCTTTGGCGATATAAGATATCATATCATGACCTATTTGTTCAAGCTAAGCCAGCTTGTGGGCAGAATGTTAGAACCGTTGAGTGTCATTTGCAAAAAAGTTTTAAAAAATTTGCATGTTTTAAAACTTCTAAGGGTTCCCAATATACTTGGTTCCATAGCTTGCCACAATAAAGCATATGGTTGAAAGTTTAGCTTTTTCCCATTGTGCAGAATTTTCTTATGAGATCTCACTAACAACTTCCTCTATGTGATCATGAAACCCTTTCCAAAGAAGCCACAATTCAATAGAAGTTAACCAAAATAAATAATTTTTTCCATTAAGTCTTTTTGACGTAAGGGTAAGAGAACCTGAAAAATAGTATGCTGGTCCAAAAGTCATTTTTAACCAAAAAAGGAGGGTAAAAAGGGAATATTTAAAGGAAAGGAAAAGGAACGACACAGCCAACTTGTAAGGAATAGACAAATAAGGGCTGGAATGGAACCAGCAGAAAACAGCAAGAGCAGAACAGTGGTGGCATGGCATCACTCTGGCACTAGGAAGGTGGCACTTGGACAACAACTGCTGACTCGCTAAGAAAGATGCTGTGCAGGTGGTGTGTGTGCAGCATATGGATTCAAGACCAGCTGGGTTGGCCGTCACTTAGAGAGAAGCTCCAGATTCGATGGTCAGAGGAGGAAACTGCAATGGCCGGTGTTTACTTTACCAAACTAGACAAAGATATGCAGAGTGGGATCAACCCACTCCAATACCAACTTGAGATAAATGAAAGAGAGAAAATATATTGTACAGAACTTGAATCTATCTCTCTTCGGTTCTGTTATTCATATATGAAAAAAGGAGAGTTACAATCAACAAGAGAAAATAGAAAAACAAGTAAAGGCACCTCTAGGTGTAGATAGGTACAATCCACAATTGCTTTTTAATAAAGCCTATTCTAAGAGGCACATATCCAATTTCATAACATGGTATTTAAGCAGTTATGATCCTTTCTAAGAAATCAAATTTAGTTCTTAAATCTAATTGGATGACAAGCTAACCTCTATATTCGATCAACCTGCCTGATTTAAAAAGTATCTATTCTAAAATTCGTTAGGCAACAGTTCTGTCATATAAAATTTGTGGTTGCCAATTCTAATCTGATTAAACATATTGCATTTGTTCAGGTTGCTTCGGGAAGGTTTGGTGTCACCCCAACATTCTTAGCAAATGCTGATCAGTTAGAAATAAAGATTGCACAAGGGGCAAAACCTGGTGAAGGAGGACAATTACCTGGAAAAAAAGTTAGCATGTATATTGCTAGGTTGAGAAATTCTAAACCAGGAGTTCCTCTTATATCTCCACCTCCTCATCATGACATTTATTCTATTGAGGACCTTGCTCAATTGATCTTTGATCTTCATCAGGTGACACTCTTGCTTGGTTTATTCACTTGTTTCCTTTGAATGAAATTTAGTAATAGGATACAGAAGAAAAATTTCTGGTTGAACAGGTGAACCCAAAGGCAAAAGTGTCTGTAAAACTGGTGGCTGAAGCTGGAATTGGCACTGTTGCATCTGGAGTTGCAAAGGGCAATGCTGACATTATACAGGTGTCTACTTTGACCTGTAATACAATACATTTTTTAGCTTCTTCTATGTATATTTCCCAGATATGCATTTGTCCTTTGTGAAGCATAACATATCATAATGTGATCAATTTACAGATTTCAGGACATGATGGGGGAACTGGAGCAAGCCCTATAAGTTCCATCAAGCATGCAGGAGGGCCTTGGGAACTTGGTCTTACAGAATCTCACCAGGTTATAATTCAACCATGAAATTGTGTGATTAAAATTTATTTTCATCATTTCTACCTAGATATATGCTATTTGATTGTGGATAATTTTTCTTGCAGACACTGATTGAAAATGGACTTAGAGAAAGGGTTATTCTCAGGGTTGATGGTGGATTTAGAAGTGGAGTTGATGTCATGATGGCAGCAATAATGGGTGCTGATGAATACGGGTTTGGTTCAGTAGCCATGATTGCTACTGGATGCGTTATGGCCCGAATTTGCCACACCAATAATTGCCCAGTTGGTGTTGCCAGTCAGGTATTTAGAATACTGATTTGTTATTATATGCTTAAATGTAATCATTTACTTGTTATTTGTCTAATATGAGTTTATAATTACATTTCAGAGGGAAGAGTTGCGTGCACGCTTTCCTGGTGTTCCTGGTGATCTTGTGAACTACTTTTTGTACGTAGCTGAGGAGGTATTTTGGGGATGCTTTTGATATCTTTCAAGTTCATCTTAATTTTTTTGGACTTGCTGTTTTTTAGTTTTCTTTTACCACTTTGAAATTTGGATTGTGTAATGTTTTCCTCATCCTTTCTAGAATAAATATTATTTTTTTACCAGGTAAGAGGCATATTGGCACAGCTGGGGTATGAGAAGTTGGATGATGTTATTGGCCGGACTGATTTGTTGCAACCAAGAGACATATCTCTGGCAAAAACTCAGCATCTAGATCTGAGTTATATCCTCTCTGTATGAATTGCTTATAATCATATATATATATATATATATATATATATATATATATATATATATATATATATATATATATATATATATATATATATATATATATATATATATATATATATATATATCTTTCCTTTCTTTTCCTTTGAGTTGAATTGCCTGCATCTTTACTTGTTTGTGATTGACCATTCATTTTCAGAATTCTGGGTTACCTAAATGGAGCAGTACCGAAATTAGGAACCAGGAGCCTCATACCAATGGTCCTGTTCTGGATGATAGTTTGCTAGCAGACCCAGAGGTAAAGCAACTATAGGTGTTGGTATTAAAATTTAAAACAATTATTGGCGTCCATTTTGCAATATTTCTTCTTTTGATCAGTTTGTATGTCAATCATATGCACTGCTCAAAAGCTAGGGCTCACTCTAGTTTCTAGTTATTTTATCCAATAGCCTCCTGTTCATAAAATCATCTCACAATCTCAAGATTGTAGACAGGATCATGACTTTCCAGAGTTTGCACCTCCAATCATTCTAAAAATAACTTGTGCAAATTTTATTTTCTCTCAGATTTCTATCTTATTAAATTAATATTACACGTGAATTTCTTAGAATAAGTTTGGACTAATCACATTCAGCATCAAACTATTGACAATATGAAAAATTCTGAAGTTTTTTGTCCTGTTCCTCTTAAATAATTGTTTTCTTCAGGGGAAGAAGGACCAGAAATTATTCAAATTCATTCCCAAATAATATATATTAAGAGAATAATATGGAAGGGAAGGAGGGTACTAAATACAAGATCCTGACTAGGATTTTTGAGAAGATGTACTATTTATCTACTGCGTGATTTTTTCCCTGGAGTTGATTTTATAGTTCTAAAAAAATTTTATTCAAACAAATATTATTCTTTGATTAAAAAAATATTTAGCAATTTATGTCTTTCATGAAGTTAATGAATTCATCAAAAGGGTAAAAAGGTGAAAATTCATAGTCTGAAATGTTAGATGGAAAAATATTCCTACTTCACTATATCATGGAGCCAAATTCCCAGCACCTTTAACTCTGGAACGTGCATGTTTTTCCCTTTTTAATTAACTTCGTCTTTTGTTTTTGACAAAATGAAATGAGGAAAAATTCTGTCTGTAATTTATAGGAAAATGTCAAACAAGGAAGAAATATTAAATCTGTTACTTTTCAGATTGCAGATGCCATTCAAAATGAAAAGGTGGTTAATAAGACCATAAAAGTATACAACATTGATCGTGCTGTTTGTGGACGTATAGCTGGCGCCATTGCAAAGAAGTATGGTGATACCGGTTTTGCAGGACAGTTGAATATAACGTAAGATGTCCAAATCTACAGTTTGAAATCCAATATTTGTATTTAACTTAAAGTTCACAAAATTATTCTCCCTGCTTCCAGATTTACAGGAAGTGCCGGGCAGTCATTTGCATGCTTTCTGACACCTGGAATGAACATTCGCCTGGTAGGAGAGGCTAATGATTATGTTGGGAAGGTATATTATTAAAACTCCGGTGTTTTGTGGTACCTAATAAGTTTTTTAGGAAATTAAACATGAAATGTATGACATCTTAGTATGCTTCTTTATTCAGCGAGGTACTGAACTCCATCAGTAAAATACTTGACAAACTTCTTTATTCAGCGAGAATTTGATGATATTAGTTTTTGTCCACATGTAATCAAGTTGTGCATTATAGGGTTAGCTTGAAATAAGTCCCCTTTTGTGACCATAGTGAATGAAATGGACGTTTTCTTTGAGTTATCTGTTCTGAATTGTTTTACTTAGATACTAAATTGAGGCACATTGTTCTGATGTTTATTTGTGCTTGTTGCCAGGGCATTGCTGGAGGTGAGTTGGTTATCACTCCAGTTGACAAGACAGGATTTGAACCGGAGGATGCAGCTATAGTAGGGAACACTTGCTTGTATGGGGCAACTGGTGGACAGGTCTTCGTTAGAGGGAGAGCTGGGGAAAGATTTGCGGTCAGAAACTCACTTGCTGAAGCTGTGGTTGAAGGCACAGGAGACCATTGTTGTGAGTACATGACAGGTGGATGTGTGGTTGTCTTGGGAAAGTGAGTAGTAGTATCTCTTATCCAAGCTTTACCATTCTTTTCCTCTACCCCACCCTGCTTTGTGTTATTAGGTTTGTTTGTTTAAAATTTTTTAAGAAAAAAAGAGGATGTTTTAATAAAATAATCGATTATTAGAAATTTTCCTTGTTTAGATAAACTTATTTAAAAGATCAGTTTACTTTTTTTCTGCTTCTGTTTCACTTTTTTTTAAGCACAAACAAATAGATCTGTTATTCAGGAAAAAATTGGAGTGTAATGAGGCTATCACTTTTTTTATACCTTAACAGAGTGGGTAGAAATGTAGCTGCTGGAATGACAGGAGGATTGGCATACATTCTTGATGAGGACGATACTCTCATACCCAAGGTTTGTGCGAGGCACCCATTTCACTGTCCTTTCTGTCTTTTTATTACAAATGAGTGCATGCATGGCTATTGAGGTTCTTTTTCATATCTAGATTCCCTTGTTGCCCCTCTAAAGTAAGAAAAAAAGGAATAACAAATCAATGGTTTGGCAAGTTTTTTCAGCTGTTTAAAAAAAACATGATACTATACTACTGTTTGGATATCTTCCCAAATCTCACAAGTCATGAAACACGAAAACTGCCTTTAAAACTTTGCTTCTAACTAATCTTGTAGCAGTACATAATTAGCTCACCTGGTCTTCTTACTCTATTTGTGATTATCTGTATCATCGAGTTTTTCACAGTTTTCATGAAGTACTAAATGTTTCGCAACCACAGAAAAGACTTTTAGACTACCCCCGCCCCCTCGGAAAAGAAATGCTGCTTCTAAAACATAATCACAGTAGCCTTTAAAATCTTTTACTTATGCAGCTTGAAAGAGACCGTGCTATTGTTCTGTTATGCTTATACCTATCAATTCACAGGTAAACAGAGAAATTGTAAAAATCCAACGGGTATCAGCTCCTGTTGGGCAGATGCAACTGAAGAGCCTGATTGAAGCTCATGTTGTAAGTTCCCTGCTCTATTTATAACCTAACAAGAATTTATATGCATGTGCTATATATATCGGTAGAATTTTATTTTTGTTTATAGAATTTTGTATCAATTGATTATCATAATGCACAAATAAATTTTATCCCCCCTGTATGAAGGAAAAAACCGGTAGTACCAAAGGTGCGGCTATTCTTAAGGAGTGGGATAAGTATTTGTCACTATTTTGGCAGCTAGTTCCACCTAGTGAAGAGGATACCCCTGAGGCAAATGCCAAGTATGACACAACTACCACAGAGCAGGTGACCTTTCAGTCGGCTTAGGGAAACAATGGCAAGGTTAGATTGATTACGATAGGCTATGTCCCTGCTTTGTACAGGAATGGGGAGGCTATCAATAAGGTGGAAATGGTAGCCAAAATAGGGTATTAAACTATCGCGTGAAATCATGGTGCTGCATTGATTCTCAAGATCATTTTTGCCAGCACTAAAAGGCCCCGTACACACATCCATCTGAAGCTTAACCTTCTCTCTGCTCAGTTGTATAGATGTTTGAAAGATAAACTGTAAATAAAATTCAACTCTGACGCCTGAATTTTGCGGACGGTGAAAAAAAATTTGTCGTGGTCAAGTGAAGAATTTGTTTTCTCTTTGCACTTAATAAAATAGGATTAATTCTAATATTGTTGATAAAATACTAGTGGCTTCATACATTGCTCTGAAGGGCAGCAATTATCAAAGTCACCAATTAAAAATTAAGGTTATATATTGTTATTGTTTCCGCACATTATTATATAAATATACAATTGTTCCACAGTTAACAAAATTAAGGTTTAAATATAGTTTAACCAATATGAACATATCGATTTTTCGTTATACTCTTCCAATTTTATTTTTATTAATTTTAGTTTTTGTGGAACTTTAAACTTCTGATAATTGTCACTTGTTACTATTTAGCAATGATGCATTATGTAATATATTACGCATAAAAATTACCAGCAACAAAGATATGTAATATATTATTAAACAATTATTTTACATTAGTTTTGAATTGTGTAAGGATAAAGAAAAGTAGAATAGTAGTAAAGAAATATTTTGTTTACCTTTGTCTTCAGAAATAAAATCATTGTGTGATATATTAAAAAAAATCACATTTTGTGTGTTCCTACTCACTCTGTTTTTTCCAATGGCCGAAACTTCCTAGTTGGGTAAGACAAACCTTAGCTTGTCGCTAAATCAAGCTGTTTTATGGTGTAATAAGCTTGTCACTTCCTCTAGTACTTTCCTTCAAGTTTCACCTAATGAGTTTTAAACGTGAAAAATGATGCCGCGTCACACTAGTTAAAATAAAATCGAGAACATTAAGGTGTAATGAATTTGTCGTTTTCTCTGCTTTCTTCCCCCAATATTGTTTACTTTTTTCACCAACCCAATAACTATCTAACCATCATCTTTTTCAATTTTAACTTTCTTTCCACGTAATCCATTTTCCTTATTCTCCCCAAAGCAAAAGCTTACGATAAGTTATTCATAAAATTTAACTGAGCAAAAGTAGGACGTACCAACTATGTGATTACCTGTTCGATATGGCATATGATTAATATAGTAAGGAAAATTGCTGAAAATGAAAGAGTCAATTTAAGGTGTTAAGACTTTAAGGAAAGGAAAGACGAAGATAAAGATAAGATGATGATGATGAATAATAATAATAATAAGGATAAATGTGTGTAGTTGCAATTACGCTTCTCTTCTTTCGTTTTCCCTTTTCTTTGAAAACAAAACAAATCAACCAAATTCTATGAATACCCACCAAATGTCGGCGTATGGTGTTGAAATCCGAGTAACAAATGTTAAAACAATGAATTCTCTCTCCTTCTCTTGGCTTCTTTTATTAATTAGATAGATAGAGTGATGATTCTATTTGATAACCAACTACTCTTCTTCCGATTTGATCTTTTTTTTTTTTAATTCATTTCTAATGAGAAAAGTATACACACTTGATTAAAACATTTATTAGAATGAGCATCAGCACTTTTTTTTCCAGATAAAGTTTATGAGTTTCACTACAAATACTTAAAAAGTGATTAATAGAGGAGAATTATACGAACAATAACATATCCTCTTTAATTGAGATGACAAATAAAAAATGGGAGGTAAAAGTAATTTATATATATGCTGCATTGCATAGTGTCAAATATTTCAGATTCAAATAAATATTGATAACGAAACTTATTCTAATTTTAGTGCGAGCTAAATGCAATTTGAATAAGAATATGATATATATTATCATTCTCTATAGTTGTTCTTCCCCTTCACGCCGAAACAAATATGCATAGTATGTGTCTGCATAAATATGTTTATACATCATACATGGTTATATGTTATTCTGGAAGAAATAGTGTTTTCTTTCTGGATAAACCTACCCACATTGCTCTGATTTCTGGGTTAAAAGTCGACTAGTGAAAGAAAAAACATCAGAAGAAGGGACTATTCTAAATTCACACATTGATTAGTTATCACAAGCATGCATGCATGAAAACATTAATGCAAAAAAATGGACCATACAAAGACAAGCATGCCTTGACAATATCTGTGTGCATATAGAGAGAATCGCATAGGTAAAAGTAGCTGCTACCAAGTAGAATTACACAGATGAACTACTTGAGGGCCATGTTTGGAAGAGAAAGCCAAGATCAGCAGAAGCAGCATTATGACAACAGGCACCAACATGAGAATCATTGGCGGTGGAGGCAGAGGTGGAAGAATCAGTGGCAGAACCAAGATTGCTGTGATCAGCACCACCATAAACATGATTGATCTAAACCCAAAAAATCTTCTCATAAATGCTAATAAAACTCTTGTAACTGAACCAACCAAATGCTCATCGATCTACCCCAATTCTATTAAACAAAGCATTGATCCCCCTCCTTCTTCGTGATCACAACCCAGATGGTGTTTTATTATTTTGAATTTGAAAAGACAAAGAAGATGAGATTTTGTCACGGCCTTCTCTTTTATTTTCTTATAGCACTGTCACTGTCCTGATTCCACCAAAAGAGGCGTATTTTTGTAGTTATGGTAAAAGATGGCAGCCATCAATTTTCTTTTCTTTTCTCAGACTTTCCTACTTTTCTGGCATTCTCCAATATGGCAACCAAGCTCCCTTTGATGGCAAAACTATTCTCATGTGGATTTTCTTTTGACTCACATTAGTTGGAATTGCGAGTGTGCATCCTTTTAATTAATTTATTTTGTCAATGTCAAGTGCATGTATCGATTATGGCAAAATGTGATCACCAATTAACACAATTTATACATTTAGCAGTTACTAAAATTGGGGTGTTATAACTTATAAGAGACTTGAGAGTTACATTTCACCATCCAATAGATAGAATTCACCTACCTCTTTCATTCCATGCCATGCCCCTCTAGTCAAAACAAAATGATACAAGGTTTAAAATTATTTCTTTTCTTTCAAGTATCAATTTTGTATTAAAAAGACAACAAGGGAGGCAGGTGATTAGGGTTTTCCCCCTTCAATGTAGAGTTATATTTATGGGCTTTTTACTTTCTATATCTCAAAATTCAGAGTTCTTAATTAGTTACAATAACAAGAAAACCAGTGTTCCCATTCACTTTGTACGTAGGTTCAAATGAGAACAAACGTAAACAAGAATTTATAAACACTTTTATAGATACTTCTCTCGTTCGATATGCTTCCTCTATATAATTTATAGATTAAATTACAATATAGATAAACACAATTTCTTATTTTACGAAGTTATTACTTTATATAGATATATATATATATATATAATATTTATTCAGTATAAAGCCATACGCTTCAATATTTTTTTGTAAAATGAAAAATTTGTAATGTCATAAAGTTGATAAATACGTAATTATATAATTAAAGCCCAAATATGGGCTATCATAATGGGCCTATTACCAATAGATTATCAATCAAAGCCCTCTTAAAAAAATGATGAGTCCGTCAGACAACCGTGTGACCATCCCGACCAACACGCGGCTGGGAACGATCCTCTGCGGCCTAGGATAGGCTACCCGAAGAGTAGCTTTATCAGGCCAGTAATCACGCTCTGATCACACGGTCACTATTCATCAACCAGACTACGGATCCTGTCTCTTTAGATCTTAAAGATACAGAGGTACGAGCCTATAGAACAGATCCTGTTCAAGTAAGGTCGTGACCAAGCCACTGAGCATCGTGTATATAAACACTTGACTAAAATTATGCACAAAAAATGTGGGACTTCATTCATTTTCCATCTTGGGACAAATTTTCAGCTCTCATAGACTTCTCCCATTTCCCAACAGAACTAGCCCGATCCTTAGAAAAATCATTGATACAACTACATTACAATCTTCCTGCCACGGTGTTTCGTACATAACAGCGGCAGTATTGATCCCAAATCTTCATCTTTTCTAGAAAAAGAAATTCTCAAGAGAGGCTTCGAAAAGTTTTTGTGATGCTTGATTTTAATATCACTTTAGAATATAAAACACCCTTGAAAAGGCTAGGCCTAGCCCACAGGGGATTACTTTTGGCCAATTAATGTTACTCCATCGCTTCAGGTTTGCAGGTAGCTAAGTCACAGAATGAACACGTTAGTTTGTCTCCATTTTTAATTGTCAGACAGCTCAGTAATGGAAGGTTGAACCTCCATAAATATTCCTCTTGACCTATTAAGTAATCTTAAAATCCATTTTACCCTATGAACGACCTCAAATTATGGTAATACTCTCTTGAACCCTTTTATACGCTCATTTTATTATTCCCTCATTACACACTAAATGCTCGACACTAAAATGCGTAAAACTCTAATAAAAAATATATTTTGGGTCTGTCAGAGCACCATGCGACCATCCCCCCAACCAGTTGGAAACCAAACGGAGAACGATCACCTACGCAGTTCATGGCACACGATTTAGGGTAGAAGCCCATTACCATCATCAAGCAGAAATTACGCTCTAATCACACAGTCGCTATTCATTCATTCACGAGACAGGGTTTTCCTGTCTCCGTAAGAGCTTAAGGATACAGAGGTATGAGCTTATAGAACAGATCTTGATCAAGTAAGATCGTTGCCTATCACATAAGCGTTTAGAATATAAACACTTGTTTATGTTAAAATTGTCCTGTGTGGGACCATTTGAGTAACATGTGTGGTGGATTCTAACACTTTCAGCCATTTCATTTTATATAAAAGTAGCTTATAACTCTTAATGCTTTGGAACAGTTACTGGTTGTACCAATTTCAAGCAAGAGTCTCTTATGATTTTCTGTGAATCCAGGAGTGAATTTGAAAAAAAGTAAAATAAAAAGTGAAGTTATTTATATCAAAGATGAAATCAGGCATTAAAAGATATTTGTTGCGACCCCTCTATAAAAAAATTTGATGTAAATTAAATTGATGAATGAAGAGCCTACCCTGGACCATTTATTGTAGTCCTTTCAAGAGTGTTTTCAGGTAGGAGTTAAAATAAGAACATAGTTATTACCCACTCTTTATTATGTTTAGAGGCATGGGACTCTCATCTTAATATTCTCCTGGAATCAAGACGTGTATCATTTATGATCGAAGGACAAGTGAGAGTTACTTTTTACCTTTCTCCTCCTACACACACCAAGCCATAATAGCTCATGCAGAAAGCAACTGCTGCATAACAGTTCGTCTTAAATTTTGGATTCACACACAACAAAATATGAAAATAAAGAAAAATAAGTCAAAATATTATAATTAATTTAATAAAAATATTAAATAATTTAATTGAATAATAAAGTAAATTATGACAAATATCCTTTATTAATATTTAGTAAGAATTAATATAAATTCGTTTAACAGAGTTTACCCGAATTTACCTCAAAAGTGAATTCACTTACAAGTTACCCCAATTAGTACATAGACTTATAAATTCCTCCGTATATATAAGTTATCTCTACAGTTTAACAACTACCCTTTTATTCATTCTAGGGACTAAGTAGTTCTATTATTGTAAGTTGCTAGAATTAGTTGAGTTAAAAAAAAAAGAGTCGAGTTTTCTAAGTTTGTCAATTAATTCCACACAAAATTAGTTTTAAATTTAAAATTATTTTTGATAACTACTATATTATTACAAAGTATTTATTGGTTTTACCAAGAACACAAACCTTATTTTTCTAACCGTAATCTATTTGAACGTTTATATCATAGTACTCTATTCGGAAGTGGATACTTGCAAAGATATTTTATTATTTTAAGTCAGTAATAGATATAATTAGTGACTTACGATTGAGTGAACTTAAAAATTACCTTATCTTCCTATCACTTTGTAATATTTGGTGATAAAATTCTAAAACCTTAAAAAACTTGGTTAGTTAAAATATGAAGTGAATTTTAAATATATATGTATATATTAATTTGAGAAACGAAAAATAAATAAATTATTTAATATAATTAAATATAAAAAATAATATTATATTATACTATTATTTGCTTAATAAACAATAAGAACATAGTTGGTGTTGATTCTTATAAACAACACATCTTCATGTTATATCATGTAAAGTTTCACGTAGTTTTTATATTTTACTAAACAACTTAAAAATAATATAATTATTATAACTAAATATTATTTGAATATAATATTTTAACGTAAAATGATGGTAAATTGATAAAAGGATTTAAATTTTTATAAAAAAAATTATATAATTAGTTTCTTTTAAAAAATTTGTAAAATCAAAATTAAAACTTAACTAATTTTACAAAAATTAAAAAATATTTAAAATATTTTGTAAATAAAATAAAAACAGAAATATTTTTATTTTTATTCAGAATTCATGTCAATTAACTCTTAAATCTATTTATTTTTAATAAATGTGATTTGAAAAGTTAATTATGAAATAGTTGAAAATATTTTTGTAGGATAGTAAAACGAGTTAGGCTCGACTGACCAGAGTTGACAGGCTATTTAAAAAATGGCACAATGGGTTAGTGGTTTTAACCCATCGATTCGTTTCGTCCAGATCACCAAATTGACTCGTTAGAAATAAGTCAAAAACTAAAAATAGTTAATACTATTTTACATTGCTTTCATTTTTTCTGTTTCTGTACTGTGTATAAATACGTTCTTTCATCTTTTACATAAAGTACGTGGGTTTCCATTTATTCTTCTGCATGCATGCATAGTTTCTATATGGTATCAAGAGCCAGAACGGTTTAGTGAAGGGATTTCCAGTCCATACTGTGTGTGGCGTGTTAGGGTGCTCTTTGTGAAGCAAGTTCATATTGTGTGTGGCGTGTTAGGGTGCTCTTTGTGAAGCACGTACGTGTGAAGTTCAAAATCATGGCTGGACGTAGTGGATTCATTCTTGGAGGGTTACCCATGTTCGATGGAAGTTGTTTTGATGACTGGAAGATCAAAATGCACGCGGTGTTTGGATTACAAGATATGGCCGAAGTGATCAAAGATGGCGTCATTGATCCCGGTAGCAAGGCATCAGACGAAGAAAAGAGGAATTACAAACAGATGCAGAAGATGGATAGCAAAGCCAGGTATTTGCTATATCAATGTGTGAATTCTGAGATCTTTAACAAAATTTCAATGGTTGAAACGGCTAAAGAAATATGGGAGATTCTCA